TTTGAATTCAGGGCTTTGCACTTGTTAGGCAGATGCTCTACCACTCGAGCCACACCTCCAGTGCTTTTTTCTCTGGCTATTTTTGACATAGCATCTCAGCCAACCTGGCCCATAATCCTATTTATGCTTCCCACAGTAGCTGGGATGACTGGCGACTGTGTAACACCTTGCCCATTTTTTTCTGTTGAAAGTGGAGGGTTGGGGGGTGCACAGGAGGGAGTCTTGTGAACTTTCTGCTTAGGGTTAGGTTTGAACCTCAATCCTCCCAATCTGCACCTTTCAAGTAGCCAGAATGACAAGCCTGAGCCACTAGTGTCTGACCCAAGTTCTTAATTCTTGCTTTACATCCTTGTGAAGTAAGCCACTACTCTTACCCCTTTATGAATGCAGAAGACAAAGCGTGGAACTAAAGAAGATAAATTCTATATTTGGAGTCCACATCAGGAACTAAAGAAGATAAATTCTATATTTGGAGTCCACTTCATTGTTTTTTGGGTCCATTACATTTAATCTACCTATTCTAGTTTTCTGATCCCACCCTGAAGTCTCTCATCTGTCCATTCTGTTCTCCATTTAGAAGATCATGCCTTTTATAGCCCCAGGCCCTACAGGACTTCATCATCTCTCAGATTGGAATCCCCTTTATCCGGGTCTCCATCTGGTAAACACCTGCTCATTTTCAACCCAATATAATCATTACTTCTGCTGCAAAGTCTTTCTCAATTCTTTCATGCAAAAGTGCAGCTACTAGAACAGTGTTGAGGAAAAGCCATGTGCAGAATTCTATTTTAGTTTTTATCACAATGCTATGTGATATTTATCTAGCTGCAAGAGCCTTTGTCTTATCCTGAATTTCCAACACAGTCAACAATCACATAAACCAGGTGTTTCATCCATATGTGTAAATTACTGTTAACTCCTGAATACAGCTGTATTTTACTATGAGTATTTTGAATGAAGAAAATGAATTATTTACAAGATAATCTACCAATTTTCAAAATCTGAAGGATGTTTATTTCATTTTTCCAGTGGGAAATTTGAGGTAGAAGCCATTACATAAAAACAAAAAACTGATATAAAATTTTAAAACATTGAAAACTATCTGCCTTTACCAATGCCAGTTGTTGTTTCTTGGAGCCTTATATCGCAACATATTAAATTTGAGGATCTTGTTGATTCTTCAGTTGAAGTTTTGTGTAACTATATGTGATTTTGTGATTGTCCTCTAGCTCTGAGTTAGTATGGCTACTACAAAGTTTCCTCTTATTCACAACTATTTCGAGCATTCTTCCCAAGAACCCATTATTTCCCTTACAACAGTAGCCTGTCCTTCAAAATAGACTGTGCACGTGTCCCTCCTGGCATATCAATAGGTAATGTCTATAAGTGGAAGAAGGTAATATTTTTCCAATCCCACTATCTAAACTGCCTATTAAACAAATAATCCCCCATACATAGAGAGGACATCTTTTTGAAATGTACCAAATGCATTTCCCCCTTTTCAAAGTCACCATTCTAGAAAACCTGTAATGGGATTTAAATGTCTATTTCAGAGTATTCAGCCTAGGTTATTGGCACTTTTCTTCCACAGTGAGTACTGTTCATGTGTTTTGTTCTCCTTGTGGTTTTAATTGTTTAAAATTGTTAATTGTTTTAAAACATTAGTTTCAAATGTTACACCTGTGAAAGTGAAAAATTTTTGTGTGGCCCTCAGAATTGTTAACGTTGATGTTTTCCTTTCAGACAGTTTTCAAACACATAAAACGTAGATGTTGATCGAAAGCAAATATTTTTCAGTAACTTAGTACCTCAAAAAAAAAAAAACTATGCAAGGCTGAGTGAAGACTTGAAATAGAGTAAAATTGGAGCCAGACATGCCAGTATCGGGGCAGGGAAGCCATCCAGAATCAGTTCCTTGTCTCATCTCCATTGGTGTCCATCTCCAAATGGATGGTAGTAAAGAAGAGTTGTTGAAAAGGACTAACTAACTGCTCATCACTAAAGTTCAAGTTCTGTCTGCATGGAAGGATTGTGTTCAATATTATACCAAGAGATGGTACAACTGCTAAACAGTAAAGCATTATTGAATGTCTGTTATAAGTAGTTTTAGTCAAAACGTGTGTCCGTATTTTACCATCTGTAGAAATGAAAGATGTAAACACACCCAATATTTTATAATCATCATTCTGATATGGTAGCATTTGGGATGTTTGTAAACATCTCAGAAACAGATGTGAGAGCCAGAACTCATGCTCAGAAGCTTGTGAATCATGCTTGTGCATTCCAGATCTGTGGTTCTTCCGCAGGAGCACATGGAGAAGAATTTTTTCAGAGACTTCGAATGAGAGGGGTATGCCTGCTTTGTGTAGTACACTCTCTAGGAAACCATGGAAATGCAACAGAAATAAGCTTGTAAGGAGCTTATTATTTAATTAGGAAAATTGTATTTTCCAGTCTTCTTATAATGCCTTAATATGTGTGTACATACTCATACATAAGATTAATAAAGATTGGCAGATTGAGTATTAATTGCCCATTTAAGTAAGATATTTCTAGAATTCACAAAAAGTTGCATTTTTATAAATGTAGGAAATTTCATGGAATATTTTCAGTGGTGTATTTCCTCTAACCATCCACTTCCACATTCCAGAGAAGTGCCCTCACTCAAAGATTCTTTGAGAAGTTGATAAATCTCCTCTAAGTCGCATATCTAACCTATATGGATAGCAATAAGAGGGCTAAGCTTTCCTGCTGCTCAGGCTTCAAACACGTTCACAGTATCCACATGCAGAGACTACAGAATGGTGCTTCTCTCTTTGGATCTCTCCGCCAGGCTACACCACATCAAAGGCTTTGTCTTCTCCATCCATGGGATCACTGCCTCTGCAGAGCTCTACTGCCAGGGCTGCCTGTCTTAGTACCGACCGGCTGTAAGTTCTGTTTCCCAGAATAGTGAGCCACATCACGTTTCTTAAAGGTTTATTCCTTTCTCCCCATGGTTCTACACCAATAAGCCTGCCACTATCCCTAGGAATGGTAGAGGAAAACTCACTTTATTTCACTATTAAACTATACATATACAGTTTATTTGGGTGACAGTAGGAGTTGAGCTCAGGGCCTCCCATTTGCTCAGGGTGCTCTACCACCTGAGCCTCTCTGCCAGCCCTTTAGCACTAGTTATTTTTGAGATAGGGTCTCACTTTATACCCAGGCCAGCCTGGACATCAGTTCTCCTACTTATGCTTTCCACATAGTAAGCCCATGACACCACACCCAGCCATTGGTTAAGATGGGGGTCTGGTGAACTTTTCACCCAGGTGTTCTAAAACTGTGATCCTCCTGATCACTGCCTCCCAAGTGGCTGAGATTACAGGTTTGAGTCCTCACGCTTAGCTGTAGTTTTTCTCTAATGTGTGCTTTTTCAGACTAAAGAGTTCTTTCCTATTTCCATCAGGTTCTCTTTTCTCTAGTTAGTCCAATTTCTCAGGCAAATTTTCCTACCTAGTCTCAGTTTTAGTTGTAGCTTGGCCTGTTTATCATAGTCATCTCCCTTAAATTCTTTCTTTTGCTGCATTCTCTCTCTTCACCCTGGCTCCTGAGAATGAATGAATGAACAAGACATTGTCTCTGTTGTCTTGCCAGACTTCCCAGAAAGGATAACTACATGTTGAACTTCTTCTCCCCCTAGATGCTTGCTTTCTACCACAACCATACTTAGTGATGCTTTTCTGCATTCACACAAGTGGTATATTACTGCAGTGTCTAGAGGGCCTGCTTCATAGAAGGCTCAATAAAAATATAAGTTTGTTTGAGAGAGTTGAGTTTGAACTCCAACCATATGAACCAGCATATCAGACCACTCTGCACCTGACCTTCCTTATCTATAAAATGGAAATAATAACATGAATGCTAAGATAATGGTGCCTGACCCATAATAGTCACTAAAATATAATTTCTATTGCCTCTAGTGAAGTAAATACATGAATGAATGAATGAGATGTTATCTGGCCTTCTTTTGCTCTCTGACAAGCTCTTGGGATGTGCCCCATCTTCTAGAAAGAAGTAGCAGTTTGCTAATTCAGGAGTTCAGGTTTTCTGAGGCCACTGAGTCACCTTCCCACCTTCCTTCTGAATATCTACTCATACCCTTCCCCATTATCCTAGGTAATACCTGGAGCCTTGGGTGTATCACCCTAAAGCAATGCTCAGTTACAGCTTACCTGAACCAGATAATTCTTATTCTTGTTCTGGGTTACTACATGGCATGGGAATCCTACAGAATTCCCAGTCTAGTCCCAGAAACAGAGTCCCTTCCTACCCAGTGCTCTCCTGTTCCAAACCCTTACAGTTGTTGGCCTGTCTGTCTCAAGACAATGGAGGTTAACTAATTGGGGGTGAAAAGCCAAAGACAAGATCAAATTAAAATCCAGTAGCTCAGACTTTAAGTGGTCGAAAGAATGAGGGCATCAGTGACAGGAAATCTGGTCTGCAGGGAAGACCGTGCCAATTTAGCAAAATCTATGTCAGATTCTGATACATTTTATCTTCTTAGATATTAATGGGGAGAAATAAATGGAAAACTATGAATAGAAACAACCAATTTCCTTAAATGGAAGTAAACATTCCATTTAAAGGGTAATTTAACAATATATATCAAACATTACTGCATATAATCATGTAAGTATCTCAGAGATTTTAAGTAGTCTAAATTATGTAAGGATGAAGTCAGAATAAATAACAATATTCATTTGGGAATTCTGGTTTACTTTTCATTTAAAAATTATTCTCTTTCCTTTGGTTGACATGGGTTTAGCTGTTACTTAAGAGTGCAATTCAAACAATAAAAATAAAAATAAATGAAAGTGCAACTCCTCTTTCTATACTTTAAATACCCTCACATAATTGGCAACAAAAGTCTCTAGTGAAATATTGCTCCTGTAAAAGTTATTATTTTCTTTAACTGAAATTCCCTTGATATAATATATTGTGCTACATTACAGCCTCACCGTTAGGAATGAAGAAAGAGGGGAAAATGCAGGAAGACCCACACACACCACAAAAATGGAGAGTATCCAAGTCCTAGAAGAATGGTGAGTTGAGAGTCATGCTGTGATAGGTTTTCTGTGCCATTTACACCTGCCACGTGCCTAAGCATTGTCGTTTGTTAAACGGTACTCCCAGAAATGGTTTTGTGAAATGAATGCTAACTCAGTTTGGGGATCTTATATTGTGGCTGCAATTCCTTTTCATCTGTTTTTCTATTAGCCATGTCATCAGTTGAAGCATTGCCCATGTTTATCTTTCTTTCCCAAGAATCAAAGATTATTGCATGAATTAGCACAGAGAATTGCATTAGCTTTTACTGGTGGTTTCTGCAGTACAGTAATAAAGAAAATATAGTCACTGAGTATCTGCAAGTGGATATCTCAAAATCCCCAAAGCCATTCTAAAAGTCCTGCTATTCAAGTGTTTTTAGGAATTTCTGTAACAAGTACACACAATATATTCTTATTATTGATCCAGTGACTAATGAAAAATGACTACTAGGGATAAAAATATTGTTTCTTATGGAGGGAAAACGACACTTTATAAGGTGAAGAAAAAAAATCCATTGTGTTCTTCAAAGTAACTTCCAGTGTTTCCATGAATGTACAGCACATTGTGAAGAGTTCAAATACATCTAGGCTCCACTGGGAGTTTTGATGACCATGTGCACATGGCATAGCGATCCTTACTTTTCGACTGTGTGGCTCTCTTCCATGCATCTGTGCCTTCATGAATGTTTGGTAAATGCCAGAAATAAACAATCTAGTCCTGGCAGATTATTTACCAGAAAAGGCCAGACTGGGTGGCAAAATGCTGACCACTAGGTGGCAGCAATGGAATAGAATTTCTGTCCACTCTTCCTACTAGCCTAGCATTCATAGGTCAAAGTCACCTTTAGTGATGGTCTCATTTTCTCTGTGCAGTCAAAACCCTACTGTAGATGAAGTCTTATCGTGGTCTCAAAATTTTGACAAGATGATGAAGGCCCCTGCAGGAAGAAATCTTTTCCGAGAGTTCCTCCGAACAGAATACAGTGAAGAGAATCTACTTTTCTGGCTCGCTTGTGAAGACTTAAAGAAAGAACAGAACAAAAAAGTCATTGAAGAGAAGGCCAGGATGATCTATGAAGATTACATCTCCATACTATCACCGAAAGAGGTAAAGATCTGCAAAACATTGAGGTGGGCTTCCTAAGACAGAGGATAACCCAAAAGGGCCACTGTTCAAACTGGGGAGTGCCTGGGATGTGAACAGGTCAGAAGACCACGAGGGTGTTCATGAGCTTTGCTGGACACATTTGAAGGCTAGAGTTCCCCTCTCTGCTTTATCTCCAGCCAAATTGTGTGTGATAGTCAACTTGGTTTTTAGAATTAATACTGTGTAGTCTTTTAAACAATTTGCTGTGTCTTAAACTAAAATGGAAGAGAGTTTATTTTAGGCTCATGCTCCTCAAACATGGTCTTCAGGCCACTTGTAGGAGAATCACCTGGGGTATCTGGGGTATCTGATACCTGGGGTATTAGATTCTTGAGACCTACCCAGGACTTCTTAAGCTGATTTTTTTTTCAAAGAGAGCCTGGGAATCTGCACTTTTAACAGGCTTTTCTTAAGTATTATACTCATTTGAAAATCTCTGGTATAGGGCTTCAAAAAAATCCAACATCTTTGTTAATGATTATGATGGAATTTTTTTCAGTACTGAAGAATGGGCTTTTATGACCACTAATACTCTTGGGGTTGGAGTAGGGAGTAGAAATTACTTTGCTTGTTATAGATCTTCTTTTGTCAAAAGTGCCCACCTACTTTCCAATTACCAGAGTCTACTTTAAAGGAACACTTCCAGCAACCAAACAGCATTTTGTATTAGCTTTTTAAAAATGAATTAGCTAGCCCTGTGTAGAGGCTGTAATCCTACCTACTCAAGAGGTGGAGATCAGGAGGATTACAATACCAGCCAGCCTGGGCCAAAAATTAGCTAGACCCCCATATCAACCAATAAAAAGCTGAGTATGGCTGTGAATGCCTGTCATCCCAGCTACACAGGAAACACAAATAGGAGGATTGTGGTTTAGACCAGCCCAGGCATAAATACGAGACCCTATTTGAAAAACAATAAAGCAAAAAAGGGCTTGGGGGGGGTGTGTCTCAAATAGTGGAGCACCTGCCTAGAAATTATAAGGCCCTGAGTTCAAGCCCCAGTACCACAAAAAAAAAAAAAGAATTGCCTTTGAGAAATGTTCCAGTTGGCAGAGGTGAAAGCACTGGGTTAATAGTGGGATGAAGCCCTGCAGCCGTGGTGTCAGAGCTCTCTCTTCCACACTATTCTCATGCCTTTCCTGTTTCTCCTAAACTACTGGATACTTTACTATGCACTTAAGTATCCAGACATGGTATTTTCTCCTCCCAGAGTTCAGCCTCCACACCATCCTCTCCTGCATGTGGATGTGGCTGAAGTGCTGGAGAAGTGGGCTGGGTTGTCGGTGCCTTGTCCCGCACCTGATGTGTCCCCACGCTGCCTACACTCCTCCCTCAGGTCTGAAGTGATAGTACCTCAAAGTTGGGGATGCTATATAAATTGTTTCACTTCTAATGAAATGTACCTAAACAATTTAAATTTTTATTAAAGTGTCACTGGTGCTTCAGATTACTTCAGCAGCATTGCTTCTACAAAATGAGAAGGCTTCTTAAACTGGATGCATAAAAGATTGCTTTCATTTTATTTCTTACATTAATATATTAAAAATATTCATAGAGACAAAATAGAATGTTTTGTGTAGTCTGAAGACATTTGTTATGGATATCACTTAGTGTTTCTAACACTAATATAAATCTGCATCCTAGAAGGACATTTTTAAGATTTCTGGTCTACTTAGAACCTCAGCATCTAGCCAACTCCACTGGGATTTTATTAGCATACAAATTATATGCTTGCTTTTATTTCCAAGTTGTATTACACCAGATGATCCAAATATGCCCCAAAATAATAAAACATGTCATCTTGAAGTGACAGTTGTCTGCATTACCTGGGCCAGTTGCTTGTACCATGTATCTGCTCCACCTTTTACAGGTTAGCATAAAAGGCATTCTCAATGTGAAGAACATAGAGGCTCTGCATTTTTATGGCCTGCATTTTCTAATCATTGGTCTAAAATGTAAACACTTTGTCCTTGTCCTCACAGCTCCTGATTGCCAGATGTCGTTGACTGATGGAACACTGTAAAATACTTAATTTTCACAAAATTACTTCCTCTTTGGGCTATATTGAGAGTTACCATAGTTATTAATTATTGAAATATAAATTTGGGTTTCTACTCTTTTTGTTTGAAGAAATATGGGGGTTTTTTGGCCTAATTTCTTTACTTCAAACATAAATTTCATTAGAGTCATTAAAATATTACTTCCTGATCAAAAACATGATCTTTTAAAAATTGCATAGACTAGATATTTAATGTAATATTAAATATTACTACTATCCACATGTTGGGCATTGCCTATTCTATGATACTCTCAAAATGCTACACAGAGTTAGAATTCACACTGCAACCATGCTGTGACTCATGGGCTGAATAGCAAACAATAAACAACTCTTGACACAGAATCTAAATTATTCAGCCTATAAAGTGCCTTTCTTTAACCAACTGATTTTCCTCCTATCAACATAGTAATTAAATTTGAATAGTGTTTAGCAGAAACTGCAAAACCAAAGCAGGCATTTTCAGTCATACAAAGTAATTGTTGAAAAACTGTACTGTAAGCCAAAGTATGCATATATTTACTTTTGAACTGTGTTCAACAACTTGATTCACAATACAGCATGTAATTTTCTGGAGCTCATTCCAAAATACTGTATCTCAGTGATGTTGCTGTACAAAAATTTGTCAATTTCTAATCAGCCACAATGTATTACTAACTGATGATACTTTTACCATTCTTCAAATTTTGTTTTCTAACAATTGTGAGGACACATGTCACAGCACTGGAATAACACCCAGGTGCAAAGGATTCTAGTCCTGTGTCTACTCCATCCAAATTGTGTGACTTGGGACAAATCACTTCACTTTTCTGGACCTCAATATTCAGTCCATTTGTTTATAAAAATAAAAACAATAATGGACACAGAGACTAGTATACCAAATCCAGAATGACAACTGTAAGGCCTTTTATCCTCCCCACCAAAAGACATAGCTAATCAATCGTGGCCCTCCTACTCAGATTAATCCTCAGAATCTCTCTCAATATAGTATTGAAGGTAGTCACTACAAACCAGAGTTGATTTCTCATTTGGGGGCCAGAAAATCTGACCCTTCTACTTTGAAATTCTATAACTGTTTCTATTTTCTTAAGATTTTTTTTTTTTTTTGAGACAGGGCCTTGCTGTGCAACTCAGGCTGGCCTTGAACTCAAGATTCTCCTGCCTCTGCCCCTCTAGTGCTAGGATTACAGGTTTGAACCATCACATCCTGCTCAGATCATTTTTCAAGAACATAAACATCTTGAAAATTTGAGTCATTTATAAAATGGTAATAACTAGATAAGTAAAAAAGTCAGGATTTTATTATCGAACATAATAGTTACTAAACTTTATTTTGCATGAATTAAGTTGTCATGTTCTACTTTGTTAAATGTAGAGAAAATCTACATTTAAAAAATTATGTATTTATGTATCTAACTTTTTTCTTTAATGAAACCATTGAAGCCAGTGTGCTGAAAATTGTATTTCATTGTTTCAAGAGCATGTTTCATGCATTTTTAATAATTTGAGCATTATGTAGTAAAATAAGATATGCAATCAGTGTACCTTCTATTCTTGAAATAGGGTCCACTTTAAGAGAAACTGAATTTAAAATTTTTCAAAAATCTAAAAATTTTAATAAAGAATAACCTCTAATTCAAAACTATATTTCCTTTTCATACAGTGTCCTCAAGTAGAAAACAAATGAAAAAAAATTTTAAAGTATTTAAAACTAATGGCCTTGCTGTACATAGCAAATCCTGATGACAGCTTAAATTTATTAAATATTGAAAAGACAACGCAATAAGAAACTCAAGTAAAAAAGCTATTTAAGGGCTGTTATCAACTATAAGCAGCATTGAGCTATGGAAAAAATAAATAAATGTAAATCCTTAAATAAGCACAATACTTTTATCAGAACTGAAGATAATTATATAGTCAGTTATCTACAGATCTCTTAGTGGAGGGTTTGCCAGTAGTCAGGACTGTAACCTGTCTGGTCACTGACCATCTGCTCACTTTAGCACCTGGAGCCTCGGTGCCCTAGTTCTGTAAAATGTTAGGGTGGAGAAGCCTCTAAAATGCACTAATTCTGTGATGCTCAAACTCTGGAATGTGGCGATGTTAATAATAGTGGTAGGAATTGTTTGCACTTCTCATTTCATCTTAGAATTTCAGTATCATTGGGAAGAAAAATGTCAACCTATCTACACACCAAAGTCATCTAGAACGATGCTTATGTGACAGACATGCAAATGCTGTGCTTGTGAATGCATTTTAAAGCAACATAGTGTGAATTTAGCACTTCCAGTGAAGTCCATTTTTTTTTAACAGAACTCATTTGACTATATTTTCCCACATTTATCTGTGCATGCATACTAGCACTCGAAAAATATTTATTATTTCCTATGAGCCAGGTGCCGGGCTGGATGTTGGGGATGTGATGATGAACAAAACAGACATTGGCCTATCTTTAAAGGAGCTCATATTTTAGGAAGACAGACAAACCATGTTGAAAATACGTAAAGAAAATTTGTGTTCAATGCTAGGATGGGGGGAGGTTTAATGATATAGAGTATGGTTGTCAGAAAAGGTCACTCTGAGAAAATACAACTTAAGTTGACACAAAAACCAAAGACATTGGGTTTGATCAAAAGGTGTCATCATAATCGTGATCAATTTTTGTTAGTAATATTCTCACTTTTCATAGGGTTTTAACTATTGTTGATAAAGCAGTCTTACATATGTTGTTACAATCTGAGTCTCACAGCAGTCCTTCAGCCATGAGGACAGATGGCATCACCTCACAACAAAGGAAACTGATCCTGAAAGAGGTAACATGGATGTATGAAGACAGAATTATATCTGGTAGAAACCGTGTCACCAGAGGTGAATGGCAGGTTCTTCTTCTCACCAAAGAAAGAATTCAGGGAAGACATACAGAGGAGTCTTAAAAGAGCAGGATTTACTGAAGCAAACACGAAAGTGAAATTTATTGAAGTAAAGCAAAAGTTAGACCCTCAAAGAAGATTGGGGGCACTCAGCACAATCAAGCAGTCAAGGGTACCAAGCTCCCCCCAGGTTGTGACACTTTTAGGGACAGGGCAATGCTAAGCATATGCACATAATTGTAGAGATTTCTGAGAAATGGGAGGGGATTTCCAAGAACTGTGGGACAGGGAGTGCTTTACCTGACGTGGTGCCTTCAGGGCTAAGGTGGCAGTCTATAAGGGATCTGTGTGCATTGAGTTGCAATGAGACCTTTTGTTCTAACCTTTAAATTTTAAAAAAGTCCCTACCGGGAGAACTGTTGACCACTGTGCCAGGTAGTGGCCTGGATCATGGTCACCCACAACTGCAGGATTAACAGTGAAGCAGGATGTTTGGCAAAATATCCTCAGGATGGTGTCACACCAGTTCCTTGTCTCCTTTTGATGGGTTGTTTCCTGTCTGCCTGCCTGCCCCCATCTCAATAGAGGACAAGCCCAGAATCTTCTGATTCAAATACAGGGCACTTCCTACACAGCATGCTGATTTGTTCATTTTCTGTCCAGTATTTTCTTCATGATACTCCTGTGGATTTCTGTAAATCCAACCTTAGAACTTCAGACAAAAACGAGAAATGGCAACCTTAACCCAGGTTTGAGCCTCTCCAAGACAGGCAAGATGTACTTTGGACCCTACCAAAATTAGTTACTTGATTTTATCCTACTAAAAATCTTTGCTGCCAGAGATAAATTCAAATAATCAGTCTTGTTGGTAGCTATGATTATTTCCAGTAGAAATAATGAGAATAAAATAATATATGACTAAATGTTCACATGACCAAAATTTATTTAAACTGACAGGAGAATCAGGTTATCTTTAATTCTATAAAATTTAATGTGGGGATACTAAATTTAGTAAAATTTAAGAGCAGAAAAAATACACTAGAGAAGTTATAATTGGTAGAATTTGATCTAGAGTTCTAAAAGATAAAGAAAAAAATAATCAGAATTTGACTTGGAAAATAAATCAGTTTCAGTACAATTGAAAATAAAATGAAAAATGGGAAGAAAGGCTTAATCATGATATGTAAAAAATGTTCAGAAGATTAACTTGATGGATGGTCTTCTATGTGGGGGAACTTCCAATGAAAATCATTTTCTATTTTTGACAGTCCTGGAGGTTGAACTCGGGGCTTCACACTTGCTAGGCAGGTACTCTACCACTTAAGCCATACCCCCCAGCCTGAAAATTAATTATTTTCAGTATGACTGTCATCAGCATCCACAAGGTCAAAATTTCCACTGCATCTTGACAGCCTGAACAAAAAGCCATGTCAAAACTTGTACTCCCTTTCAGCAATAGCCATTTAATACTGCCCTTCATTAGATAAAAATCTAGTAAGACTAACCATGTATGTATAGCCCAGGTCTTCAAAAGCCCCATTAGCAGGATTTCTGTATTCTGCCTCACCATTTTACCTCCACACTCTCTTGAACCTAAGCTCTCCTTGCATTTTCCTCCCCAATAATTTGTGGAATTGCTGGGGAATGTTTCAGTATGATTGCAAGCCACTTTATTTCCTTTATTCCTATCTCCTACTCCTTGTGGGAATTAATGCTTCCAAGTTCACTGAGATCTGTCACAAAGTCACACATGTCATTTAAGGAGCAAGCTCTCCATATAGCTAAAACATTTTCAGCCTTCTAAAACTGCTGCCAAGTCTATCAGAGCTACCTTGCACCCTGTCTCTGTTATTGCTGTAATAAACCCTTCCTCTGCCATCCCATCTAAGTATCTTCCTTGAGTAAAAGAATCTTCATTGCCTAAAGAAATTTGTGTCTTTTTCTATGCCTTTCTGTTCCCTTAAGATAAGTTCTCTCCAGAAAACCCCTCAGTCCTTCATTCAGTTGACCCCAGAAAACATGGTTTTGTAAGCCACTCAGATACGCTCTGGTGACTGTGGCTCCGGCTCCAGCTGGGATTCTCCCCCACTACCTTGTATTGTAGATGTCCTGCATTCTGAACCACAAAAATGCCGAAGATGAAACTACAGATTCTTATATCTAGGGTTTGTCCTTGTTGCTTGACCCTTCTGTCCTTCTTTTGACTGACCAATAATCTTTTCAAACAAACAACTAGATATTAAATTTTCTTTTATTTTTCAAATGGAAATAGCAAATGTATTCTTGTTACACATTTCTAAGTGTGAACTGTATTAACTTTCATTATTTTACTACTGTTTGTAAAAAATTAAAAATTAAACAGTGAGGACTCAAGATGTAATGTTTCATTATTTTACTTCTCTCTTAATATTATTTTTATTACTATTAATAAACTGTTACACTAAATTAATTATGCTATTATTTAAGAAGTAAATGACCCTCTTTTTCTGGTCACTAATCCAAAGTTTCCTTCTCCACAGAAACAAAAATTCTCTCAAGTTTCAAAGGAGGGTGTATTTACTAAGACTTCACCACATTTCCGAATAAGATGAATCAGTTCAGACTCCAGTGTCAATATTTTCTTATTGAGTGCAAACACAAAAAATGTTTTCATCTGAAATAAAAAGCTTGAGGGAAAATCTAAACTTATTACTTTGTAGTTGATGATGACTTCATATGAAAAAAGAACTAAATGATCCATTGATAGGACATCTTAAAATTTTTTTTTATGAATTCCCAACAAAGAAGTATAGTCAGCCAAGAGATGTTTAACATTTTTTATTCATAAGTTGGTCTGGTAGAAATGCAATCTGGATCCTAACGATTTCCTGACAAATCTAACAGCTATCCCTGGGTCACTTCAATCTACCCAGCTCCACGTGGTACACAGGCTTAGGAACCTTTGGACACTCAATGCAACATGAGCGAAAAAGACTTTTGCAAAATGCTTATGATAATGTTTATATATAAACGTGTGTATGTTAGGAATGTTTATATGTAAATATAAGTGGTATGTTATGAAACAATTAATTAAGGATCACAATGTACCATTTCCTACTCAATAGTGAGAATTGAAATCAATCAGGATTCTGAGTGATTGTTTTACCTCTTGTACAATTTTTCTTTTTCCTGTTTTTTTTTTTGTCGCTGTTGTTGGTTTTTGTTTCATTTTTGCAGTGCTAAGGATCCAACCCAGGGTCTCATGCATTTGTAGGGTTTTTTCCTCACATGGCATTTCAGGACAGAACTTTAGTCCTATTCCATCACTCATACCTTTATTACTATTTATTCATTCCTACTTTCACTTTCCAGCATGTACTACCTAGTCCAAATATATTAGCATTTAGTGGGTGTGTGTGTGGGATTACTAAATAATGACTGAATTTAATTCCTATACACTTTTCAAATAACACTGCCCTGATTATTTTCATGGGTGTTCTTAATTCCTTCTTATATTTCTCCCCTCAAAGATTCCATTTGGAGCAATTGCTCTGCTTCATGTTTAGTACAGAGATCTTTGGATGTATCCCCACCTGAAGATGTTCCCTAAGCCTCGCTAGGTGGGTAGGACTTTGGGAACACCTGCTGTATTTCTGCTTTAATGTACTTTTCCACATTCCTGCTTTCCTACTTTTGACACAGTGGGACCTGTTGGGATGTGAAGCTATTGAGGATCAGCATTTAATATTATGTTCATTTTTGTTGGTACTCTCTACTCTGGTAGTGAATTTATACCCCATTTATCACTCCCAGCAGTCACAGAAAAGGACTGTGGTTTCATGTTGTGGTTTTTCTCTGCAGCCTCAACAATGAGTAAAACTTGTCAAAAGCTCCTGAATAAGTCCAAGTAATCTGAGAGAGCCATGAACCAAATTTCTACTTTAAATGTTTAGCTGTTTTTGTTGTTGTTTGCCTGCTTGATTCAACATTTGAAGGGAGAAAAATTATATAAGCTTATTTAGACTTTTTTCTGAAAAGATGACCTGCAGATTTTAGGTAGTTGAATTTACTCTTTGTGACTTAAATGTCACAAACCTACAGTTACTTAATTGAGGTCTTTTGAAAACAATATTATTTAATATATCTGCTCTTATTTCTTTTTAGGTCAGTCTCGATTCTCGAGTTAGAGAGGTGATCAATAGGAATCTGTTGGATCCCAATCCTCACATGTATGAAGACGCCCAACTTCAGATCTATACTTTAATGCACAGAGATTCTTTTCCAAGGTTCTTGAACTCCCAGATTTATAAGTCATTTGTTGAAAGTACTGCTGGGTCTTCTTCTGAATCTTAATTTTCATTCAAAAAATCATTACGGAGGGCTAGGATGATTAATAAAAATAGTTGAAATACATCGAAAATCAAGTTCCTGAAGAACTACAGGTTGGCGTCCTCAGGCTACTGTGAAAATACAACAAATGGTCTTTGTCTCCAGTTTTATCAAGGTTATCCATGATTAAGTTTGGAGAAAATACCACATAAAATAATGAATTGCCAAATTAAGTTTGTTTTATTCAGCACTCATTCTACTTGCAAGCAAACTGTATTTGTAGTCCTATGAACAGTCTCTTAGTGTATCTTTAGAGACTGCATGTGCAAAGTAAAACTGCTTCGTTTGCTATGTAGTTATTGTACTATTTAATCCAATAGCATAACTTATATGTGTATTTAAGAACTTTTGTGCAATATGGTCTTATAGAAATAATTGCCAAAATTGGCTATGGTTTGCATTTTTTAACATAATCTGAGACAGAAAAAGGCAATTTTTAAAATGTAAACATAATACTTAAACATGCTATATATTGTGTTCAGTACACTAATTTTGAAGTCAATATTTCTGTACATGAAAAAAGAGCTATTTATCGCTGTCTGTTGGAAAATCCTAATGGGAGATTCCTCTGGTTGTTCACTGCCAAAACTGTGGCATTTTCATTGCAGAAGAGTTTGCTATGTTAAAAAAATAATTATAAGAAAAGAAAAAAAGCACAAAACAATTTGAAGATATTCTGTCTCAATGACAAAATCAAAGAGTGATAGTTTTTATTTGTAATAGGAAAAAATGATCTATGTACATATCAGATGTCCAATACTGTAATTTATTAAATACTGGATCTCCAGTTATAAGACAGTTGTGTATAAAGTAATGTACTTCAGTAAGAAAAATACTAAGCTTGATAACTTAGTTTTGGAATATAAAGAAGAAGATGTAATAAAGGAATGCCTACATGTAGCACTGTAAAACATTTTGAACAGCATCTCTCCTGTGGCACATTTTCCCTGAAAGTGAAATCCAATAAAAGCCTAAGTTTTTAGTAAGAAAAGTTTTATAAAGAGTTATGACAAAGATAATCCTCTACTTCAGACCTTAACTGTTTTCACTTAGTATCTTAAGAATGACTTATTTTAAAAATGTTAAAACAAAACTCATTCTCATCCATAATGAAAAGGCAGGACAGTGCTCAGATCTTTTAGCGGCCATGTTATTTTTTATAATTACAACCACTGTTAAAGACAAAATTCTTGCCTGGTATGGGATGTACTTCTGACATTCAAAACAACAATATCTTATCTGGACAAAAATGATAATAATCGGTGTCATATTTATATCAAGATGTGACATTTGAATATTAATATCCCCTGGAGAATATTTTTTTATCTTAAATTGAATGAATATAACACAGAATAACCTAAAATGAAAGTTTTAAAAAGATTTATATCCACTGAGAACACTGGCCTTATATTAAGATGATATTAAAATTATAAGTTTTCTTTGTCATTTTTAACTACCTCTCATTTTTTAATTTATTAAACATTTTTTAAATAAACAAGTTTGGGGTTTTCTTTTTAAATTTATTTTACTTGAAAGGCTGGCATCATGTTTCTTTTTCCATAAATTTAAAGCATTTCAAGAATTGTTTTTTTAAGTGAATATGATTTTCTAATTTATATAGAATTCAGGAGACATGATTAAAAGGGCTATTATCTATTCCCTATGCAAATATTTTAACTGTTGCAGTGTTTGACAAAATGGGATTTAAAAAAAAATTGAAGAGTGGAAAATGAAATGCTCTGTTTACACTGGCGTTGCTGACTATCCTACCATATTCAGCACTTTTAAATACATTATTTGTGAAAATGTAGTTAAAATGCAAGATAGAAAATATTTATAATAATCATTTCTTTTAACAAATGTCTTTTTTCTGAGAGTGTTAGTGTGTTAAGACATTTTATTCATGTCACTTAGGTATGTAATATTTGAATAATAGTTTTCAGTAATATGTTGAAAAAAGATAGCTTTGAAGATGTTTACAAAAAGTCATATTTTTCCTTAAAAGCAAAGAAAAATATCATCAATTTTATTGTGAAGTTCTATTGTCCCTAAATCATTTAATTTTTCTTAATTAGCATTTAGTTTATTATGCTACTGTGACATATACACATGATAGTGTCATACTTGTTTCTGTGTTTGAGGCACAATAAATTGGTGCACATGACTAGAAGATATGTAATATACTATGACACTCTGCATGCCTCAGTCTTTTCACATGTAGACTTTATTATGTTCTTGTTGTTACTATATATGATGGTGACCTGCTAGTCATAAGTTATCTTTATAAGATACTTTGGACTATTAGATGAATTGTCTGTTTGACAATACTTTTAATATTTTACCAAATGTAAAAGATAGGGTCCTTATAAAGAGCCCTAATCTCTAACCTGGGAATTTGTAGAATACAGATTTCAAAGTTGGTATATCATTTTGAAACCTGATTAAGAAGTTGAGGATTTTAGAGCAGATTTACCTTACACAGCAATGTTGGTAATCATGCTATGTGAGCATTTCCATATAAGCTCTTATTTTGTGGGAAAACACAGGTTTCTCATTGAATTTCAAAATATTTAAAGCTTCAAAGAATATATCTGGGTATTTGCAACTCTGCCAACTTTTAAAGTATACTATAATTTCTTCTAAGTTACAGAGCTATAATAAACAAATTTTTTAAAAACCCTCAATTGGTGTCTATGCTACCATTCCAAGAGCACAATATTTACTTTCTTAAGAGTTTGATTTTTCTTGTGAGTAAATTCCTCTTTGGGGAAATATTAGCACTTTAAAAGGAGCACTTTGCGTTTTAGATTGTGAAGATAAGTTTGTATACTTTGGAATCTGCTGATGCACACAGAAAGAAATTAATGCACTTTCTGTAGAACTTAACTTCGTATCTATGGAAAGAACCAGAAAGGTATAGATTATTTATATACAGATGAATTGGAGACTCAGATCTCTGCAGAGATTGATCTTGTACATAGATCATGCTAAAAATAGATGGAAGACTCTTCTTTATTCTGGCTAATCGTCATTATGTTCCCCAAAGTTAGCATAGAGGCTCTGACAGTGTTATGGGGCAAATATGAATAAGATCAAAACAGAATTTTGATATTGAAGTTTGAAATACAAAAGTCAAGACCATAATGTGGTCTTTTTATCTTAAAATATGTATATATGACCAGTTCTGATAGATGATTATGGTGCACAAGGTGTTCATTGGTATCCTTTAATGCTGCCTAGTATAAAATGTGTATTATATATTTATCCAATAGCTCAGTTTTGTAACAGGACTACAGAAATTGATAAATGTCAATTTATTGGGAGCAAATACACATTTCACTCTGTTAAGCTGATTTAAAATAATACCTGATTCTTAATTTTGAGTTTATTCACCTTTTCTATTTCTTAACTTTAAATGCTGAAAAGACTTACATTATAACTGTGACAAATTACATTTACAGCAAATACAAAATATCATGTGCTTTGGTGAAGAAATGTAAAAGGAAGGAATTTAAAATATAATCAGAAGATATGAAAATAAGAACCTTTGGAAAAAAACAAAAATTCTAAAATGGATATAAAATGCCTATATACAGAACCATATCAAACATGAATCTTGGATTCTTTGAGCTTGGTACACTGGCAAATCAGTTTGAAATGTGGTACGTATATTTCTAAAAAATGTTCTTCCCCGTCTATTTGACAGTTCATGACCCTAATCTTCAAAGTATATTTTGGAAAGTATATATTTGAGTGTTTTTTCAGTTTTTAAATTTCTAATCAATATACAGTGTTTTCCTGAGAAAGCAGTATACAATCTGTAAAAATGTTAGCAATTCTTCCTTTGCTACAATTGCAGATATTTATCAATAAAACTGGTACCAAAAACTTGCTTCAGGTCTTCTATGCAAAATTGCAATTCTTTGCAGCACACAAAAAGTACACAGAGTAATAAGTATTGCTTCCAAATATTAGACTTTGATTTCTTTATAAGTATTATAAAAGTTATTACTCTTACAGGTACAGTCCTATCCTGGCCTAAGTATCATCTTTTCAGATTAATTTCAAAGAATGTTCCAGAGCTTGGCTCTAGTAAAACCACTATGGAAGACAGTGTTGCCCTAACTGGTAATATTTTACATTAGTCTGGGGAGTAACTTTATTCCTATGACAAAAGCCCTAAGAGAACTAGGGAAAAGGAATGAACTTAAGCCCTAGTGATAATAACCAAATTAGTATTTTTACATGTCATATATACAACTTGAAATTCATTCTTCCTCTATTACTTTTCATATGAAGTGTCTTTCCTGTTACAGAATCTTCACAATTTTAAAATCTTTTGATTTATACCTAACTGCTGTCACAGCATTTCCTGTATTAAAATCATGCCACATGCAGTGTTTACTAATAGAAATGTATGCACACAGATTCACATATGAAATATAGTATAAAAACATCAAGAACTCAGAATGACAAATTTTGGTTTCAATTTGTATTTCTATTTCCTGTGATGGAGGGCAAGTCATTTATCCTCTCTGAATCTGTTCCCTCATCTGTAAATGGGGAATATTAATTTAGAGGATGACCATGAGTTTAAATAAAATAAATATGTGAAGAATAGTGTTACATATCAAAGTTCTTCACCTCATTAATAACCACTACTTTTCAAGAATGTCTGTATTAAATATCATTATTTTCTCACTTTTAAAACTTAATTATTCACCCAAAAACTACAACCAAGTTTATTTTAAGGTGAAGGATTATATCAATGTCACTGCTTTATTCAAAAATAAAATCACTATTTTCAATTCAATGTCCCACCAAATCTGCAATCTAGAAGTCTTTCCAGCAGTCTAGAATTGTTTCTTTAAACTGTATATGTATTTGTAGAAATATATATAATGGGAATAAAACAATATTCCTAATGATAGGAATAACAGAAAATCAAGCCATTTACCAAATAAATCAATGGGTGATAGAACTAAAAGTAAGTTAATAAGAGATTGACCATAGAAAATATCCTTTTTAATATTATAGTAGTATGATTTTCTTTTAAGAATTTTATCATGAACCTGTGGAAATAACAAAAAATAGAAGTGGCTATGTTCCTAATTTTTTCATTACATCTTTTATTTTAGAATAGTTTTAGATTTATAGAAAATTTGCAAAGATAAGACCAAGAGGCCTCAGATACCCTGCACCCATGGACACAATTAGTCTAAATTAATGGAATCACCATTTATGCATTAAGTCTACAATTTATTCAGATTTCCTTAGATTTTTACCTAATGTCCCAGTATCTCATTGAGGATCCCACATTACATTTAGTCCTTATGTCTCTTTATGGCCCTTTTAGCTGTTTCTTAGACTTCCCTTGTTTTCAATGACCTTGACAGCTTTGACGAGTGTTGTTCTGGCATTTTGCAGAATTTCCCTCTATTGCAATTTGTCTTTTTCTCATAGTTAGACAGACAAAAGTTTTGGAGTTTGGGAAGTAACAGTGCCATTCTGAACAGATGATAGCAAAAGCACATGCCATCTGCATGACTACGCTTGTGAGAATTTCCCAAACTTCAGGCTCCTCTTTGCTGTTGATGTTGACCTTGATCACCACCTGCGGTATTATGTGTAATGGTGATGCTGACCTTGACCATCTGTTGAGGCACTGTCTATTAGGTTCCTCTGCCACAAAGTAATTTGAGAGATTATATTTATGCTGAGCTAAAAAAAAATTGAATAGATTCCTCAACACTAATACTAGGTTTCATTAAAAGATTACTAACAAATGCTATGAAGAAAATACAATGATAGAAAGTGAGATGGGAGAATAAAACTCCAAACAGTATTAGCTTGAATGTTTATTTAATACAGGTGAAAGAGCATTTCTTCTCTCAAACCACCTATTTAATTGCCTTTAACCTCCACACAGTTTGAGTATTAAAGATCTTGATCATACTAACCTTTTAACTAGTAAAAGGTAATTTAAATTAACAAATCACTTTACTGCTTTTCTAGATGTCCTGCACTGAACAATGTATACAACACTGAAGTAATGTAAAACAATATCTTCCCCCTGGCTTTAACGAATTTGTCTTTCATACAATTTTTATCTGATTTTAAGATGTTTGCTAAATCCTAAGAGGAATTTTAATTCATTTGACTCTGTAAAAATGACTGCATTGAACATGTGTAATTTACTGCCATGTTTGTTATATTTAGTAATCTATAACCATATTTTGGACCCCACTAATATTTATTAGCAGACTCTAAAGAAGTTTTGGGTGCATGAATAAAAGGATGAGACACCATGCTTGGTTATTTGGTGATGCCAAAATCGAAAAGATAACCCAAGTTATTTTTTCGCTAATTTACGTTTTCTGGATTTTTAATTACCCTTTCTTTGAATCTATTTCATCAGTTTAGCTATGTACAATAATAGACTTACTGAAAATGACAGAGTTTTCACCATGTAAAAGAATTTGAGCATGACAATAATGTAGGGAAATTCAGAAGTCTCAAACTATATATTTTAGCGTTTTCAAAGTAAATCAAAGCAGGTGTTTTCATCTAGCTATATTGTGGAAACCTACAGATATCATTGTAAAATGCATATGCATTAAGCTGACTTTCTTAAAATGTTTTAAATTAATAAAGAATTCATCAACGTGTCCTTAGGCAGGTTACTGTTTCCTCATTAGTGTAACACTATAGGTGCTCATATATGTTGCTTAAATTGCTTATGCATCTGAGGGAAAATAAATTCTTTGGATTCTTTATATTGCTGTATAAGGTTACTGCTTATTACAATGTTACTTCTTTTTATAAATAAGAAATTATATTCTTTAAATAAGTTACTTTTTGAGAATGCAGCTGAGAGATTTATCACATTAAGTTCAAGTTACTCCCACCACTTACAAAAAAAAAAAATCAAAGTTAGATTTACAGTTAGGAAATAAGTATTCCTGATACAAATACAAGCAACCTGACAGTCCTGGTACTCAGATCAGATTTAAAATAAAATGGGTTCTAACCACTATCTTACAACAAAACATTTTGACAAAATAATGTAAACTTGAATACACAAAGTAAACGGAAGAACTGAGGTAGATGGACCTTTTAAGTAGCAAAACTATTAGTTTTCTATATTTGAAGAGTCATTTCATTCTTCCAACTTACTTTCCCTTTGCATGGAGTGCGAGGGGTGAATAGAGACAATGAAAATTCATTTTTAAGGATTTTATACTTAATAGTTTGTGTTAAATGACTGAAGAGTTCCCATTTTTTACCATTTGACGTTTTTAGACAAAGAATAAAGGAGAAGCTATTTCAGTACTTCGTCTCTCTGGACAGTGGAACACCACTTGGTAGAACCTGCCCAAATCTATCAGGTGGTGGGAGTTCCCAGGCTGAGCCCTTGCTTCCCAGTCGTACTCATTTCTCTCTCTCTATTTCTGTTTCTCCGGCGGGCTGTGAGTAAGAGAACTGCAAGGGCAATGCACCAATAAGCTTCAGTATTGGCAGCACGTAACGCGCAGGTTTTGCAAAGTAAGGCTACCAGAAGAAGGCCTTTGTCCCGCACTGACCTGGTGAGCTCGGACCCATGGCTTCTGTACATGCCAGGAAAGCAAAAACCTCAGCCCGGAAAGGACTCGCAAGGCTTTGCGTGCCTTGGCTTGTTGTAACAGGTTCCTCAACCTCAAAATCACTCGAAAGCAGTGGGATTATGTCAGAGATGAAGACAAAGTCAGGTTTTGTAAAATCATTCGGTTGTCTTAGAGAACACTATCATATCCTCATTAAAAGGAACTTAACCCACCGACTGCAGAAAAAACAAGCTGGGGGATGACTGCAGTGCGAAGCCAGCCTCAACAAACGAGCCCACCCTGGGGGTGCAAGGCTGTAATCGCAGGCACACAAGAGGCCCAGGTGGGAGGTCCACCATCAGAGTCCCCGCCTCCGCCACCCCACCCCAAAACTAGAGACCTAGGCTGCAGGTGTGGCTCAAGTGGCAGAGCACCTCCTAGCAAGCCTGAGACCCTGAGTTCAAACCCCAGTACCATAAAAAAAAGACAAATATGAGCAGGAGGAAAGAAAAAGGAGTGAACACACGTGGAAGTAATGGCAAGGTTGGTACCGGGGCCAGGCGACGCTCTGCGTCCCACGTCCACAGCCAGAAGCCGCGGCGGTGACGAGAGCGCGTATCTCTGCCTAGCGAGGGAGGAGGCGCCCGGCCTCCGGCACCGCCCCGCTCGGTCAGGCCCCGCCCACAAAAGACCCCGCCCCCGTCCGGTAACGCCCACAACATGCCCCGCCCCATCGCCGGCCACGCCCCTACCGTTGTCTGTTGCGCCCCCTCAACTTTTGGCCTCCGTGAACTTCACAGCTTTCCCACGCTTTGCCGGAAGTTCTCAGCAACGCTTCCGCCAGGCATTTAAAAACCAGCCTGTGCACGGGGCGGGGCGGGGTTAGCTCGGAATCTGCGTGTAGTGTCGCGAGACCTGTTCTCTCCGGAACTTCCGGCTCTGGTCCGGAGCGCTGTCGGGTCCTAGAGATGCGGTGTCGGCTTCTGTGGGGTGCTGCCCGTTGTCTGTGGGCCCGCAGGGCTGGGGGCCCGGCCCGCCGGTTCATAAGCAGCAGTGGTCCGCCGCTGGAGGAGCTGTTCGCCCGCGGCGGGCCCTTGCGGACCTTCCTCGAACGCCAGGCAGGGTCAGCAGCCCAGTTACAAGTCAGGGGGCCTGAGCTGTTGGCGGTGTCCAGACTCCTGATGGAGAAGGAGCAGGAGCTGCGGGAGACCGAACCCTTGCTGCACGGTAAGGGCCGGGCCGGGCCGGGCCGCGGCGTCAGACCAGGCGCTGGGCTCTCCGTGTGCCCTTCCCACCGAGCCGCTGGCCGAGTGGCCGCACGCCACCTGTACTCAGTTGCACCTGTTTTTTTTGGGATCAGAGGTGAAGACGGCATCATTACTTGGCATTTTGTTCTCTTGTGCTCCCTTGGTGTGCCCCCTTCTACTTAAATTGACGTTTCTTTGTTGCCTGTCCTCTGGCAGAAGCTCATTTGCCCAACAGGGACAAATAATCCCTGTCATGGGCTCCAGACCAGGGATTCTTGGTGTGGGATGGAGACCATCTGCGATAGTATGAGGAGCGGTGCTTAGTACAGACTTAAGACTCAGAACTGGAAACCTAAGAGTATGCATCTCCAACAAGTTTCGCGTGCATTTGTATCTGGAATAGGGCCCAAATTTCCGCATTACTGCAGGCTCCCAAAGATGCCAAAATGTTAGTCCATGGGCCATACTTTGGGCAGGAAAAGTGTAGCAGTGCATGGGGGAGGGCCACAAATTAATAGTAATACAACTTACAAGTGAAAACATGATGTCGTAGTATAACTAAAGACCAAGGAGAGGAAGAACTGTTGGGCAGATGTTGCAGAGGTTGTAAGGACTGACCCTTCGAGGACATAAGTCTAACCCTTCACTACGCTCCAAGCTTTGCTTGGCCTTCTTTATGAACTGACTCATCCAGTGTACATAGCAAGCAGTGAGACAGGCACTATAACTCATCAGAAGAGGAACTTAAGTATAGATAAGTAAAATAACTCCTCAGGGTTGCACAGTTTACAAGGGACGAAGCTGGCATTAGAGAGACTGTAAATGCCATGTTCTTAATCAAACTACTGTACTCCTTAACCAGGGAAGAGCGATTATGGGCAGTGGAAGGCTGGACCTGTTGTAAGGAGTCAAATACTAATATATATGATTGTTTATCCTGTTGGCAGAAGGAGCCAGCAGCTTTTAGATTTGGAAGTGGATGATAGAATTACTTTCTTCACTTAGGAAGCTTGATTTGTAATTTTTTTTTTCATATAAGTCAACCTGGAGTGGGATAACATGCCTAGAAAAACAGGAGAGGGATACAAGTGTCTAAGTGAGGGGAAAAAAAAAAAAACAGTCTTAAGTATTTTAAGAGAAAAGCATCATGCCTTGAGTTTAATGGATGTCCCAGAAGTATCTTTTGGAGAAAAATTAAATTAGTTTCATAGCTTAAGCCAAGCTTAAAATCCACGGGGACTTAAGGGGGAAGTATTTTGAAAAATCAAACTCCAGAAGTTAACAGAATGTTACAGAATGTAACTCAGTGTAATAGAATATGTCATTCAGGAAATCTTGAGTTACTACTACGTGTCATACACCACTAATTATAAAATTATTGAGCAATATTGGGAGCTTACAGTCTGAAGAGAAACAGATGCTTAAGTAAAAATGTGAGTGAATGAGTATTTAATTTCTGTATAAAAAGTAGAGTTATAAAAAGCAAAACTGGCATTTGAGTAGATCTTTAAAGATAAGAAAGAAAATGTAGACAGTGTAAGAAAAGGCAAAGTGACCAACAAAGATAAAGGTGCCACATGGGGAAGTACAGTGTGACAGGAGCACAGAATGGGTCTGGGAGGTGATAATAAAAGAAACCTGAAAAAAAAAAAAGAAAACTAAAACTGGAAAAACAGAGCCCTGCATGACAAAGAATTTGGATTTGTTTTTATGGACCATGAGAGGTTGGCATATGTTTTTAGACAGAGAAGTGGCAATTTTTTTTGTTGGTATTGGGGTTTGAACTCAGAGCCCCAAGCTTGCTAGGCAAGGGTTCTACCACTTGAGCCACACCCCCTCCCCATCCCTTTTTGCTTGTTACTTTTCAGGTAGAGTCCTTTTCACCTGTATGACCTGGACCTTAATCCTCTTATCTATGCCTCCTGTGTAGCTGGGATGAAAGGCCTTCACTACAATGCACAGCTTATTGGTTGAGATCAGGTCTCACTAAGTTTTTGCACAGGCTGGCCTCAAGTAGCTGTGATTACGGGCATGAGCCACTGAACTCAACTCTAAGAAGTATTTTTTAAGAATATTTAATGCTAGCCTTAAGTTTTGAGGATGGGTTCCATCCAGTGAGGAGGCTGTTAAATAGTCCAGGGGAGAGGCTATGGTGCTGCAAGGCACGTTTTAAGAACAACAGTCAGTTTGGTGGTTTATGTCCTCAGGGTGCTGGAGACACAACATTCTAAGAGAAAGCTCAGGTTTCTGGCATCAGAACGTGAGGGCTACCGCGAGAATATAAAAATTGAATTGGATTTAGGAAAAAGACATGTTTGTCTTGAGTGCCATATTAGGTTAATAAAAGTAAACCTACAGGAAGGTCATTTAGATAAAGGTATCTGTAGTGGTCCAAGGAAGGGAGGGGGGGAACCTACTGACATGGGAGAAAACTGGTGAGCCTGAGCAATGATAAGGAGAGCTCTCAGGTAAGATACACACGGTTACTTAAAAGCAGATGAGAATGCTTGGGGAAACCGAGAGATATGGACAAGGCCATTGATACACTGTACTGTGTTTGAGGAGCAGGCAGAGCTCTGCCACCTTGACTTCTAAAGTAAATGCAACTGTAGACACCAATAAAAGTTTCAAGAAGTAAGGGCTTGTCAATGTCTGACTTAGAAAGTCTATGCTCATCTCTTCAGCTAACAAGGAAAATGGTAAACCTGGTTTTTATTCCTAATTTGGATGGGAAAAGGGTGACAACAAGCAGTTGCTTCAAGGACTGGAGAAAAGGACCCCTCTAGAATGGAAAATCATAGATAGGTGCCCAGGAAAACTACACTGATTAATGATACAGAAAGAGGAATTAAAGTTATTATAATTGCCTGTAAGTCTCAGTCTAAACCTCTGTTGCTGCATTGTCCAATAAAGTACCCAGAAGCCTCAGTAATATGGACAGTCTGAATTGAGATGTGCTGTCAGCATAAAATACATACAGGTAGGCATTGTGGTGCACACCTGTAACTAGGGTACTTGGGAAGCACAAGCAGGATTATGAGTTGAGACTAAACTAGGCTGCACAGTTCCAGGTCAGCCTGGGCTACAAAGCAAGACCTTGTCTCAAAATAAATAAATACACACAGCTTTCAAAGATTCGGTATAAAAATTTTAATATTTTTATATGATTTAAATGTCTAAATCATACTTGGGTATACTGAGTTCCAACCCCAGTTCCAGTTTAGTCTTACAGAACATAACATTTCAGAACTGAAAAGCACCATGGGGCCATCTAGTTCGGAAATTTTATTCTTGATGTATCCAAGACTCAGAAGTTGGGTATGTGGCCCTAAAGCACATTAGTGGTTAAGCTAGCACTAACCACTAATTTTTCCTTTTCTTGAAGCAGTACATTGTCCATTTCACCCAATTTCTTCCACAGCATACCATTTCCAAAATCATTTTCTACCATTCCACCAAATGTGTCCTGTATTTGCTTACTTCATTTCGCTGTTGTCAATCTTGCTTTTTGTCCATCCCCAAAAACAAACAAAAGAAGAAAATTGTTTGAGGTGCTACAATTTTAATGTTTAATCACATGGTATTTAGGTTTTTATTCTTTGTGAGGTTTTCCTCTGCTAGAAAAATAAGAAGAAAATAAAATTACCTGTAATTCTGCCATAAGAATAGGTCATATATGTATTATCCCCAGTTCCCAACAGTAAACATACAGATTGGTTTGATCTACAAAGAAAACAATTTGTAATAGCTAAAAATTTTCCTTCTCTCCTTTCATAGGCTGCATGTTGTCCATACAATGGAGAAATGAGAAAGTATATTTTGTTACGTCAAAAATGAGAATTCAAAGATTAAACAACTAGAGAGAGACTTCATGTATACATTAAGCAGAGTCCAATAAATGTTTCAGGGTAGGATACTTACTTTATATGATGAGAATATTTATAAGGCAATAAATAACATTCTACTTTGTATTTCAATTTTGGCCTAATTGGTGAACTTTCTGTTCCCTTTCTAGCTTTCTAACCAGCTAAATACATTCATTTGTATTGTACAGCTTAAGTTGGAAAATTGAGTTTGTTAATGTGAGGATTTTATGGAGGTGAAATTATAGAAGAGTTTAACCAGTTTCTCCATGTATTTTTATAGATAATCTTTTACTTTTAGTTTTACTTATAATTTCTTTTGTTATCTGAAAAGTTTTTTTTTATAATTATATGCTCATGAAAACTAATGTTTAAAATATTACTTTTAACTAATGACATTTATAAAAAGTTTATTGTTATCCAGCTACAATAATAGTAAACTTATTACCTTGAAATCTGTTGACAACACTAAGAAAACTTAACTGCTCCCTTTTTTCTTAGATGAAAATGAAGATTTAAGGAAGCTTGCAGAGAACGAAGTGGCTTTGTGTCAGAAAGAAATAAGTCAGTTGAAGCATCAGGTATGGTATCTGTAAGGAATGAAGCATTCTTGCCACTACTCTTTATGTATTTGATTAGGGGTTTATAAAAACAATAGAAGTAATTAGCTTGTTACTATTGAGGATAAACTTGTTATTTTAACTTTTAATTTTTTTCAGCCATATTGAGGTATTACTGACAAAAATGTCTACTGAAGGTATACAGTGTGATGTTTTGATATACGCATACATTGTAAATGTTTACATACCAGTAAAGAGTTTCTGTTTTTTGGGGGTTTTTCTGGTGATACTGGGTTTGAGCTCAGGGCTCCTTTCTTGCTAGGCAGGTGCTCTACCACTTGAGCCACTTCACCAGCCCTTTTATGTGTGTAGTGTTTTTTTGAGACAAGGTGTCGATTTTTCTCTGGGCCGGCCTTGAACTATGATGCTCCTGAACTCTGTCTCCCCAGGAGCTAGGATTACAGGGCTCTGGTCAGCTTAAATAGGGTTTTTAAAGCAGGAAAAGACATGCTTCCTGTGGTCCTACTTTTATCATGCTAAAAGGACTATAGAACTCTGACAAAAAGACAAATGTCACATTATTAGCATTTTTGGAAAGACAGTAAAATACTGGCATATTTCCCCTCTTGATTTTTTTTTAAGGGCATGAGGATAGAGGATGGGTAGAGAGGTTATAGAGTGAAGGTTGATTGTAATCTCCTTGGGGTTAGGACTGTATGTCTCCATCACTGTTACAGTGTCAGTTCTAGAGTTCCAGAACTACAACTTTTCTCTTCCATTTTAAGAAAGCCTAAAGAAACCTTGCATGTATATTTCTACTATAGTAGGGCCTCAGTTTCTAAAAGAGCTAGAATCTTCTTTTGCATTCTACACATGGTATAATATCCTGCTGACAATGAGCACTTAATTTTTATTAATTGGATGGAGGACTGATACAAATCATATAAGAACTTCAAGAGCCTGGCATGGCGGTGCATGTCTATAATCCCAACTACTCCGGAGGTGGGGATCAGGAGGCTCATGGTTCAAGGCCAACCCAGGTGAAAAGTTAGTGAGACCCCCATCTCAACCAACAAGCTGGGTATGGTGGCAAGTGCCTGTTGCACCAGCTACTTGGAAGTCATAGGTAGGAGGATTGTGATCTGAGGCAGGCCCTGAGCAAAAATGCAAGACCCTATCCAAAAAAAATAAAGCACAAAAAGGCTGGAGCATGACTCAGGTGGTAGAACGCCTGCCCAACAAGGACAAGGCCTTGAATTCAAGCCCCGGTACTACAAAAAATTTAAACTCCAAGAAGAAACAAAAATAAGCTTGTAAGTTTTAGATGAATGCTGTAACATTCGTAATATGGTGGTGACACTAATATTTATGGAAGTTACACATTTTACATTTCTAATTGGCAAGATCATTGAACAGTATTGAACAACCAGCATTAAACTATTTGCTTAGAAAAACAGGTTAAATATTTGAAATTCGAATTGCTTAGTTTTTTGTGGAGTAAGTTTTAAATAATTCATTATAGCAGAGGTAATATTTTTGTATTTACAGATTGTCTTACTTTTGGTTCCTCCAGAAGAAACAGATGGAAATGATTTGGTCCTGGAGGTAACTGCAGGAGTCGGGGGCCAGGAGGCAATGTTGTTTACTTCAGAGATGTTTGATATGTATCAGCAGTATGCTGCATTTAAAAGATGGAAGTTTGAAACCCTGGAATATTTTCCAAGTGAAATAGGTCAGTAAGCTGTTCAATTTGTTTTGGTAAAGTGTATATTTACCTACATGTATTCTAGGAAAAGGGTTAGCAAGACTATGACTGGAACTTATTTGTAAGCAAGTCTAGGTAGTTTTATGCTCATTATGTACTTAATAATTTTTAATATAAACATCAATTTTGAAAATCTCGTGGGTAGTCATTCAGTAATAACCATGGACAGACTAATGGTCTTTAAAACTGGTCTTTACCTATATCATTGATATCAGTTCATTAGTGCAAACACTTTATGTTTAGTACTTAAAGCAATAAAGTATTAAAACAATGCATATCATAGACTTGTTAAAGTTCTTTAATATGTTTGCAACCTCTCTGTTTATATTCTTTTGTGGTTCTTTCAAATGATAGTAAGATAAATAAGATAGTAAATGCAGTGATCAGTTATTTATACATAACAGGGATACCAAAAAAATTGTTTTTCCTGTATTTTCAAGGTGGCCTTAGACATGCATCTGCCAGCATTGGGGGTTCAGAAGCCTATAAACACCTGAAATTTGAAGGAGGAGTGCACAGAGTACAAAGAGTGCCAAAGACAGAGAAGCAAGGCCGCATTCATACTAGCACCATGTCAGTGGCAATATTACCCCAGCCTACTGAGGTAAGGCGTATAGTCCTGGGCCCATTGCTTCCCCAGCCCCAGCAACACTCAAGAATTTACCAAATTGAGAGCCGGGCACCAGTGCACCAGTGGCTCATGCCTGTAAACCTAGCTCTTTGGGAGACTGAGATGGGCAGGATTATGGTTCAAGGCCCACATAGGCAAATAGTTCTCAAGACCCCATCACCAAGATAACCAGAGCAAAATGGACTGGAGATATGGCTCAACCAGTAGAGTGCCTGCTTTGTAAGCATGAAGCCCCAAGTTCCAAATTGATTTACCTGTTTTCTTATCCTTTGATCTTCCTCGCATATTTTGAATTGCTCTTGAGAATTTATCTTAGTCCAAAAAAATGTAATGTGACAACAGATGGTAAGAATTTAAAGACTTATAAGTGGTCCAGCCCCTAACTTAGACATTATGAGACCATCTCTATAGGTGAAACAGTATTAACCCATATTAATATGAACTGTTTCCCTTCATAGTGACTTTGCTTTGTATTACTCGGTCCCCAGATAATATTAAAGAAAGGGCAATTACTTAAAACACTTGCTACTTCACAACCCAGTCACAGTAAAATGGAAGTATAAACACAGCAAACTCAGTAAGTATTTGTAAGAAAATTAGTATAGAATATATGTTTTGCTTAATTTCTCTTCTGAAGAATGATGGGGAACTTTTTATTTGTTCTTCAGAATGTAGTATAATTTGAGAAGTTTGAGGGTTTCTGTTTATTAATGTTTAAGAAAAAATGCTACTTGATTCTGTGTAAGAGGGTTATTGGAGTTTCTTTTCATAGATCTGATTTATGTGTGAAGTGTAGATGATGACTTGAACAGGAACAGGGAGTAAACCTGTATGAGCAGCAGGAGCCTGCCTAGGAATTAGGCACCTCAGCTCACCATCTTGTAGGCAATAGGATCTTTCAAGAGGCCATGGAAGGCTGGAGTCCATGTATCATCCAACTCTATTACTGACTGTTGAGAGGGAGTTGTGTAGGGAAACATGGAGTGCTTAGGGAACGGTATGGTTCTTACTGCCAGGATTCTGGACATGTCATGGAACAGGCTATAATTCATAGAACAGAGCTTTCTGCTGGTGACTCAGGACAAAGCAGTAGCATTATCCCCATCAGATTCCAGTGTAATCATTAATTGGCTCCTTGGTCTTTGCCTCTAAATATGTTTACAATTAAACAAAATCTTTCCTTTATTCAAACTAGCATTGCTTTTTTCCCTCTTCTAAAGTCTTTGAACTCAGAAATATCCTACAAAATCTCATTTCAGCTCATATATACACATTTGTAACAGTAGCTAAATTGTGTTTATATAGACAAAAGGGAGTAATTTACAAAGCTGTTCTTGACAATTAAGAAGGGTTGTTTTTGTTTCATATTATGATTCCTTATTCTTTCTAAAAGGAGAAAAAGTTCCAACTATTGTCCTTTGTGATGGTGATGGTGGTAGGAGTGGAATTTGAACCTAGGACTTCATGCTTATAAAGCAGGGGATCTCTTGCTTGAGCCACACCTCCAGTCCATTTTGTTCTGGTTATTTTGTAGATGGGGTCTCATGAACTATTTGCCCAGGCTGGCCTTAAACCATGATCTTCAGATCTCAGCCTCCCAAGTAGCTAAGATTATAGGCATGAGCCACCAGTGCTCGGCAGTACATGTAATGTTTTAAAATCCCAACTTCTCTTCATATGCATAGATTAATCTGGTGATCAATCCTAAAGATTTGAGAATTGATACTAAGAGAGCCAGTGGAGCTGGGGGCCAGCATGTAAATACCACAGACAGTGCTGTGCGGATAGTCCATCTTCCAACAGGTATGTACTTAAATTTTCAACATAAAACATGGAAAAAAATCAGTTTCTGAGGGATACGACTAATTTTCTACTGAAAGAGATGTTCAGTTACCAAAGGAATATATACTATACTAAGGTTGTTACTGATTACTTTATTGACATATGGATTTTTTTAGCTGATACTCTGCAGGATAATTACAAGGCAAGGAAGAGGGAAGGCTTTGAGCCCAGGGAATTTCCACATCAGTGACTGCTCTAAATCACTGATTCTTAGCCCTTTTGCAAGAGAGGGCAATATGGACTGACTCCTTTGAGAAAATAAAGTGTTGAACTTCCTACCCAGAACATAACATACCTGCAAATTTTTGCATATACATTCAGGGCTTCGTTCCATTAGTTCATTCACAGACCTCCAAAGTATCTGATTCTAGATAATTAGGCAAAGGGACTATATTCTGCTAAGTAGTAGAGTGTTTCCTATTACTTAAGTGATAAAAGACTGCATGGTTAGCAGATCTCAGTTATCTGGAAAGAATCTCCTTCTGTGACTGATCTCAAATAATCACAGTTCACATTAACCAGCAGAGGCTGATGGGATTAATGGACATTGATTTTGTTCTTTTAAGAATGGAAAAAATCTTCACATTAAATGTGGTGGTGGTGTTTTATATAATATAGGAAAGGGGAAAAAAAAATCCCCAAATATTGTCATCTCTAGCAATAGACTTTTATCTTCCTTGTCACTTCATTTTTATAGGAAGTTTTTTTTTTATGGTAGCTAGCTGAGAATATGGACAAGCAATCTGTATTAAATGTGTATTAAATGTTTTGTTTGTTTAGTATGTACACCTCAATATGGAAATACTTTGTGCTGTAGTATAGAGTTAAGTGTAAAGTCTTCCTTTTATTTTAGAGTGATGTTTTTCTCCCCTCATGAAGGAAGAAGAAAAGGATGAGAAGAAAAAATATTCCTTGATAATAAAGAAGATCTTTCTATTAAAACTCTTTCTCATGACACTATTCAGGTGTTGTTTCTGAATGCCAACAAGAGAGATCTCAACTGAAAAATAAAGAGATGGCTATAAAAAAGTTACGTGCAAAGCTGTATAGCATGCATCTAGAGGAAGAAACAAGTAAAAGATACAATGCTAGAAAGATTCAGGTAAAATGAATTTTACAAATGCTTCTAAAGGATAAAATACTTTTAGATAACTCAGTCAAAATTGTTTTCATATATATGTGAAAATAAGAAAACAATTCAAGTAACCTAACTAAGGACTGTAACTGTTTTGTAGTAATCTTACACCTCTCCCTCGTATTCTATATCCAAAGGCATTTTTCTCAGACTTTGTTAAAGTACTAAAAATGCAGGTGCTCTACTACTTGAGCTGTCCTCCCAGCCCTTTATTAAGTCCAGTTAATACTTCCAAAGGAGGGTGAATATTGTCTGTATATTTTGTGTACTGGATGAAAATAGAATAATGAAACCTGCTGAAATTATTCTAAGGGAGGCCGAGGGAGAATGACGGAGGGCATGAATCTAGTTAAGATACATGTTAGCACATATGTAACGCCACAGTGAAATCCCCTGTACAACTTAATATATGTTAATAAACAAGACTTCCTCAATAAGGGGCATTTATCACCTTGTCACCACTCAAGATGACCCCATTAATTCAGAGATTCTATTTATCTGTTATTTAAATATGAACTGTTTTCCAAACTCTCTTTATAAATACATCATTATTGCATAGGAGACGGTATTTTAATTTTACATATGGAGAAATTAAAGTTTGGAGTTGAAGTAAAGTACCTGAAGTCAGAACACTGAAGTGGCAGAGACAACATTCAAATATTAATGTCTGATTTTAAAATTCACATTGTTTTTTTCCTCTATCATGTCTCCATGTCATTTTGGGATTCAAAATGTCTAAGGTAAATTTGTAGGTTTAAGTAGTGTTGAATCTAATTGTACATCATGTCTTTTTTTTTTTTTTTTTAATATGTAGGTTGGAACTAAAGGAAGGTCAGAGAAAATAAGAACATATAACTTTCCACAGAACCGTGTCACAGATCACAGAATAAACAAATCGCTGCACGATCTTGAAAGTTTCATGCAAGGAGATTGTCTACTGGATGAATTGATACAGTCACTGAAGGACTATGCTGATTATGAATCCCTAGTAGAAATTATTTCCAAAGAAAATTAAGTTTGTTTGTTATTAAAGCCTTTTACAGTACAGGTTAGGAAAACTGTACTACAGCAGATTGTGTTGTGTGTCAATGCTCACCAGTAATTCTCTTGGAAAACACAAGTTAACATAATTGGAAGTATTATGCATATTTACACCATAGATCATTAATGTAGCTCCCTTTCAATGTATTAGTAAAACATACAACATAATCATAATGTCATAACTGATAGGCTCTTATATACAAAAAGGAGACGAAGGAAAAATTGTTTTATATGTGATCTTTAATGGGTGTTCAAAATTTGGCTTAACTTATGAAAACTTAAAATATAAAATAGAAGAAAAATGATTCCACATTACTCGGAATCAAATCAGGAGACTGAAGTTGTATCATTAATTTGACTGACATAGAATTAACAAGTGTTAATATACTACCACTGAAAAGATAGTACCCTAGGACTGAGAGAGATTACCTAATGAAAGTACACCCTTACAAGGAGTTCCCCTTCCCCATGATGGAGTCAGACCTATTCGCGGGTATGGCTACAACTCATTTAATGGGTTGCCCTAGGTCAGAGCTTGTGTGCAGCTGGTGGATAGGCCTTACAAGCAGAGAATCTCAACCCCTTAGGGATTGGGAAACACGAAGCCTTTGGTCAAGGTATGAACAAAACAGTAAGCCTTAGTGCACTTCTGTATTATGGTTCTCTAAAGAAGCAGAACTAATAGAATATGTAAGGATTGGCTTGTGTTACTAAGGCTTACAAGTCCAAAATTTGCAGTGTACACTGCTGGAGACCCAGGGATGCTGATGGTGTAGTTCCAGTCCTAAGACAGTCTGCTGAAGAATTCTCTTGCTTAGATGAGGCTGGTCTTTTTGTGCTACTCAGACCTTCAATTAATTGGATGAAGACCACTGATAATATGAAGGGCATATGCTTTATTCAAAAGTCACTGATGCAAATGTCAGTTTCATCCCAGACTTCTCAGAAATACAAGAATGTGTTAGCAAATACATGAGTACCCTGTGGCCAGCCAAGCAAGTTGACAAAATCAGTGTTCAAGAGTACTCCTGGCAGCTGTGCCATAGAAGAGAAATGAAGTCTTACCCTGCTTGCAGTATTCCTTCACCACCCTGAACTGTCAAAGTTTAATGCTCTCGCTGGCAAAGGAAAAATGTATAGGTTGCTAGGGTTTGAAGGTGTCTCCTCCAAAGTTCAGGCTTTACAAATGTGATGGTATTAACAGCAATCTTACAAGTAGGTCATGAGAGTTCTCACTTGTGAATGAGGACAGTGCCCTCATAAAAGGTTTCATGCAGCATTCAGCTAGCTTGCCCTTCTACCATACAAGAACACAGTGAGAAGGCCCTCACCAGACAACAAAAGGCAACATCTTGATCTTGGAATTCTTAGTCTCCAGAACTGAAATAAGTAAATTCCTGTTATTTATAAACTATCTAGAATCAGATATTCTGGTATAGCAACACAAATGGACCAAGGTACATGTCCTGCTATAATATCGCAAAGTCAAGTAGTGGAAGGTTTGTTGCTGAGAGGCAATCAATTTAACAGACACAAACATCCAGACACCAAAACTCAAAGTTTCCGTAAAATATTTTAATACTCAGTGTTTGAAATAAATTACAAATGTTACAACACTACCCCCTTAAATAGTTCAGCCTACATTTTTAAAAAATGGCATTTTTTAAAGCATATATTATCACACTTAGCAAAATTACAGTAAATCCCAATTATCTTCAAATACCCAACAATTCAAATTTTTCCAATTCGCCTGTGTTTAGAGCTGGTTTCACACTAAGATCCAATTAAAGATTATGGGCTGAATTTGGTGGTTTTAATCAAATTTCTCTTAATCTAGAACCCTGCCAGCCCTTTTGGCCCACACTTTTTTTTTTTTCATGGTATTGCACTGAATTTTCATTTGAGAAACTCCAGCAAGATAAGTTTTTCAGTTCAGTTTTCCTGCAAACTGCAGACCAGAGCTTAAGATGGCCAGTTTGGAATGTCACTCCCTTTCTTGAGACTTAGCACTGTTGTCACTGAAATTATATTTAAATAGGCCATTTCAAGGTTCTGTTTTTACACAGATGCATTAGATTCTCTTAAAAGAAGACAGGTGAGAAGTGGATTCGCTGTATGAACTGCGGAGAATTTATACTTGCAAATGAGCTTAAAGCTAAATCAGTATAATCTTTATAAATATTTTTCTGCCAAAAGAGTCAAAAGAAATTATTTTTTCCATGGGAATCTTGGCTATGCATAACTCTTCTGAGCAAACTGACTCCAGAGAATTAGGGCCTGAGAGGGAAGGAAAGTCAGCAGAGAAAAGAAGGTGCGTTTGATAAAGAAAAGTGGAACACTTGTACTAGGTAAAGAACTGAGAAAAGCTGGGAATGGCTCAGGATTGAAAAAAAAAAAAAAGATGTAAACTAAGAACTTAACTAGAAGGGCTCCACCTCATAGACAATAGATAAAAGTTACAAGATTAATGACTTCACCATTAAAGTTAAATGACTGAGAATGTAGGAGACAGCTAACTCCCCAAATTGCCACACTTTTGCCATGTTTGTTAGAATCAACAGTAGTATACACTTTTAAGTAGCAAATTACATACCAGATGCTGTGGCTCACACCTGTAATCCTAGCTGCTTAAGAGGCAAACATCAGGAGGATGGTGATTCAATGCCAGGTCAGGCAAATAGTTCCTGAGACCCCATCTCGAGAAAATCCATCATAAAAAAAAAAAAAAAAAAAAGCTGGTGGAGTGGTTCAACTGATGGAGCACTTGCCTACAAAGTGTAAGGCCCTGAGTTCAAACACCAATACCACCAAAAAACAAGTTACATGAATTCAAAACTATTATCACGTTTTTCCTTTTAAGTCAAAATTCCTTTAAAGGCCAAATTTCCTTTAAAGCCCAGCTTGTGGTAATTTGCAGAGTACTTCATATTGGTAATTATTATCCCACCCTATTGCTTTAAAAAACATAAAGATAGGCAAGGATTTTAAATCTGGTCAGTGATAGTTTTATAAATCAGAGAATTATATTTGAATTTACGTTAGAAGAGAATCCTCCGTAATCTCATGAAAAGTTTTCTACCTTCAAAAGGTCAGTTGGTGAGTGCAGCTTTCAGTGACCTACACAACTTGAGTACACTTCAACTAATCGTTCAACTAACTCCAGTGTTTCTCACTGCTTTGCCACTTTCTCTTAGGTCTTTTTGGTTCCCAGGTTTCTGTTTTGAACCAAAGCTACACATCCACAATTTCCCCTTACCTCTTCTAATAGGTAGTGATTACAGAAGTTGATTGAGATTGTGAAGCATCTTGAATGTTGACTTTCATTCTGTAAACAAGGGAGAGCTATTAAAACTTGCACTCTCCCTTACCCCTTACCCCTACCCAAGAAAGGGAAATGTGAGAGCTGTACTAATTAGGTGAAAAGGAATCCTTCATCAGTACATCATGACTGATCAGCAAAAACAAAATTTTTTTAATTGTCTAAAATTTATTTGCTTTTAGTGAGACATTTAAAATACATATCTGGGACTAGCAATACAGCTCAGTGACACAGTGTGTGCTTATTAGCATTTGTGAGGCCCTGAGTTCAACCCCTGGTACCATAAAAAAAAAAACAAAACTTTAAAATAAAGTACCTATCAGGTTTATTATGAACCCATGCAGAGTAGTAGGCAAATTTTTGTTAGTGAACTGACATCACATCCTCACTCACTAACCTACTAATCTAAATTAGTCATTCCTGGATAATCAAATGTAATTTTGGAAGCCAAAAAGTATGAATGGAGCACCACAGCTGTGACAGTGAAAGCCTGCTACCACCCTCAATGTAACATTTTAACTCCTTGGAATGGACTTCTGTGGATGTTGCACCAATAGCTCATCTATACAAGTAATCATAAATCATCATTGTCACTCCTACCTGCTTCTGTTACCCTCAGCCTAGAAGATACATGCTACACTTACCTCTGCAAACAGACTTTAGGTTGCAAGGTCCAACCAATGGGGCACTGTATCTTCCAGGCAGAAGTAACTACTCCTTTACTCATATCCTATAGTACTTTACTACTTTTCCCTCTAACTCATATACACGAAACTTAATCCCCAATGCAACAAGGTTGGGAAGTGGAACTCTTGGTAGGTGTGTAGGTCACGAGAAGGGCTAGATAAAGAAGGTTTGGCCCTTCTGGCTCTTCCCTCTTCTACCCTATGAGGACACAGCATTCCAGGCACCATCTTAGAATCAAGACACCATCATGGAATAAAGACAGCAGCTTGAAAGCATAAAACAGCCTTCGCCAGATACCAGAGCCTTGCTCTTATACTTCCTAGGTTCTAGAACTGTGAGAAATAAACTTCTGCTCCTTATAAATTACCTAGTTTGTGATTATTACAGAAGCATAAAACACACGAAGGTATATTAATTATAAGACAACATTAATCACAAAGTAGTAAATTTACTGGTTTATTTGTCCCAAGATTGTGTCTAGAAATCTGGTGTATTGTTCAGAAAGACCTAAAAATTGAACTTAATTTTAACAGGGCCTACAGAACCAGTGAATCAAAGCTCATTAACTAGAATAGCAATTTTGAAGGTGTATAAACTATTACTATGTTTAAAATGAAACTTGTTATATTCCTCTATAACTTGTTTCTCATTGTGTTATCTCAATTTAATGGTGCAAACATTTTCCCTCTGAAATTTAAAATGTCACCTTAGAGTCCTTTTCCTCATATTCAATTTATCCTACTTTCCTGCTTTCCTAGTAAATGCTCAAATCCTCTCCAATTCCATTACCACTGCTGTTGTGCAGTTACTTTCTCCTGGCCTACTTTAGTAGTGGCCTGACTTCTTCCTGCATCCCCTCTATCTGCTCTATCATTCTGGCTATACATAGATAACTGCCAGATTAATCTCCTTTAATAAAGCAAGACTCTTATCTTGTCACTTTGTTAAACACTGTAGCAGATTCCCACTGCCTCTCACATAACATTTCAACTCTTAACTGCATATGCAATACACCCATAATCTGAATCAGGCATCATTCTGTACTACCCTGTTAGGGAAGGGCTTTTACATCCATGGCATTCTTATGCCATGTCAAATTAATTTTTTCCTGATAAAGCTTGCATTTAAGCTTTCCCTCATTTCATTGCATATGCTATGGACAGCCACCCTCCTCCAGTTCTCCCAAAAAACATTCCCTATAGCAGTGGTTCTCATCCAGAGGCAGCTTTCCCCCACCCCACCCTAGAAACTTGGCAATATTTCACACCATTACCAAAACTGGGAGGGTGGATTAGATAGTAAGGGTGTGCTGCTAAACAACCTGCCATACACAGATTAGCCCCCCAACAAAGAATTATCTGGCCCAAAATGTTAATAGTGCTGACGTTGGTTGAGAAACTCTGTCCAATGGATTATTCCCTTATCATGGCATATAAAATCAACTTCTTTGTCCTAAAAAATTCCCACTGTAACTTTAAATGTTCTTGAGTCATCCAATAATCCATTATTGCCTTATTTCACATACCTCACCCCCCATTTTATTCAAAAATTGTTTACTGAGCATCTGTTACAAGAACACAGATAGTAAGCACAAGGGCAGGTGCTGTGTCCCAAGTATTTCCATGTGCCTCACAATGCTTTGTATGTGGTAAGTCTGCAAAAAGAATGTGATGAAAGAATGAGGGCAGTTTCTCTGCATTTCATTTTTCACCTAAAAAACCCATGAACTGGGTGATGCTGATTTTCAAGAAAAGATAGGCAGGTATACAATTTGTTGGCCGAGTGGCCCTCTCTAAGTTACTCACTAAAGATGAAATTAACAAGTGCCCATGAACCTGTTAAATCAATTAAAAATAGTATTGTAGGCTGTGAGTGTGGCTCAAGTGGCAGAGCACTTGCCTAGCAAGCCAAGACCCTGAGTTCAAACTCCAGTGCAACCCCACCAAAAGAACACGCCATCATAATTAAAGCTCAACCAAAGCATGAAGTCAAAGATTAAGTATCCTAATAAACCAAAAATTACTCAGCGTGCAACAGAACATGCTTGACTCTGTACATATCGCCATATATTGTTATTGTAATTTTGACTTTTCCAAAAACAAATCAGCCTTTTTTTTCTGGAAGAAAAAAAAAAAAAACTGCTGTAGGACACTTTTAAGCTGTGGTGAAGATCCAATCATTATATTCCAGGTGCTCCACTAATTTAAATGAGAAGTCTTGCCCCCCTCAAATTTCCCATCACTGTCTATATCTGAAAATAAAGAGAGGTGATAAAGATGATCTCTATGTCAAATGGTAATAATGTGACAATGTACTATTAACAGCCAGGACCCCAGCAAATATTCCCCAGCTGTAAGTACACAGAAGACATTTAATCACAGACTTCCAGTCTTGGTGAAAGAGGTCTGGCCCTTTTAGCTATGGTAGTTTCTGCCATATGAGGACAGTGTTCTCAGGAGTCTTCCAGGTCTGCAGGATTCGAATTCCATGCACTCTGTGTAATTCTGGTAAGCACAGTGAGAATTAACTTGCACTTCAAAGCATGATCATCATAACATGAACATAATGCTAAGATTATTTTAAGAATTAAAAGCTCCAATTAACACTATCTGTATAGCACAAAAAAAGAACCTGTTATAGTTTTTAATACTCAGCAAATCACTTTTTTTCTAAAATCCCTACAGCAGCTACCCAGCACAATCAGAAGAAACTCTATAAACCTCACATTGAAACCTACAAGGTCCTACAGGATCAGGCTTCTCCTTGCCTCTCTGACCTCACCTCTTATTCTGTTCCTTGCTCAATGAGTTCATTCAGTTTATACAGCTCTGCATTGCCAGCTTAAGATGGTTCAAAGACTCAGAAATTCTCCTGACCATCCTTAATCCATCTGTACTCCCATTCTGTACCCTATTACGTTGTTATATATCTTTTTTCCTTAATTGTCAATTTCTTTCCCACTGCTATGTAAACTCCCAGAAGAGCAGGAGTTTTTGTCTTTTCAGCCCTGTATTTCCAAGACTTAGTACCAGGGCAAGTGAGGCACATGCCTCAAGTGCAAAACTTAACAGCCTGACAAAATCTCTGAAATCAAGATTGATACTACTGTAATGCAACATTTAAAAAAATGAAAATTGGTGCAAATATTCACGGCGAACTGACTATAAAAATTTTAGATCAAGACGGATCCGCCCAGCACTGTCTGACTCATCCTGATCTTGGCCCCGCCCCCAGGACTGTCACCAAATACACTGAACCTTAACTGAAGGTCAAACGCCCGCTCTGCCTGAGGCTGCCGAAAACAGGAGGGAGAGCTGCTCAGGGCGGGAATTTGGTTTTTTTGGAGCTTCGCAATGCGGTGGCCAAACGCTGAGTCCAGGGAACGCATTATCCCTTGGGAGCATATGCAATTTGTGAAAGGTCCAGCATCATTAAAAATACGGTCCAATTTGTCATCCCAGACTTAACAATACATCCAATTCTCACCATTACTAGAAAAACATTCATCTCGCGTGGGCCCTCCAAGAAAGTGAGGGTTTTACGCATGCTTTTGTTTTTGAGGATAACTGCGCTGAGTCCATGCAGAGGGGAATAAAACCCCAGGAGAACGTAAATGCAAATTTTGCAAACTTAATGCTCACAGAAATCCAGTGGCTGAAAATACAAACCTACACTCTTACAGGAAAGAAGTGACCCCGCCCCACCCTCAGCCCCGCGGGAAGGCCGGGACCTGGCTGCAATCTCCCGCCTCAGCGCGGGCGGCCACCTCTCGCGCGCTCCGCGCAGTGCGGCGAGCGCACCTCCGCTACCTGCGCCTACGCGCCCGCCGCGCCCCGCCCGGCCGGCCTCGGAGGGAGCCGCGGGGGACGGCAGTGCGCAAGCGCCAACCCGCCAAGTCTACAGCCACCGCCCGCCAACGGCGCCTGCGCAGAGGCAGCTGCCAGAGGGAGGGGCGAATTTAGGAGGGAGAGAGGAGCGCGCCTAAATCCTAGAGAGGCGGGCTACGTAGGGCTGGGGGGAGGGCTCCTCTTCCGGAAAGTCTGGATTCCCGATCCACCAGAGTTGATGCTCACTGAACTCCCACTTGTGAGAAGATCGAAGAAAACCCAGTGCCATTTGTGCCCATCAGATCTTCAGTCAGAAGCCGGAACAGTATTCAGGATGGAATCAGGACTTGTGGAAGGCCAGTTCCTGAGACGGCGGAGGGGAGCGCGGAGGATACACGCATGCGTGGTAGGATCTCTCCACGTGCGGCTGGGCCGCGGGCTCCCCGCCCTCGTTGGCCCTGCCCTCGGAGGCCCCGCCCCCGATCCTCAGCATCTTTCCGGCCGCCGGGAGCCGGCGAGATGGGAGGGGGTTGAGCTTCGCTGCTCGGTCCCGCCTCCAATTGGGCGTGGACAAGGGCGTCCCCTCCCACCGCCCTCCTATTGGTGCGCGCCTGCGATCGGTGTGCCCCATTGGCCCACTTTAATTTGGGCACCAAATTCAAAGATTTTAAAAGTACCAGCTGGCGCCTTTTAAGTGCTACCGCTCTAAGAAGCGGGCGGCTCGTACCGCCGCTCCTGTTCCTGAGATTTGCTCCACGTCCACTGGCATGAGCCGGCGCCACTGCAGCTGCGTCGCACGGCCACCCTCCTGCTCCTGCAGCTCCAGCTCCGTGACAGCCGCCGGGCGCCCTCGCCCCTCGGACGGTGAGTTGAGGGGGCCGGTGCGGGGCAGCGCGCGCTTCGGGAGGGACGCGCCGTGGGGTGCATCTTGCAAAGTGACCCGACCTTCTCCCGAGCCTGGGCGCTTGACCTCCGCAGAGCCTTCCCGGGGAGGGAGGCGGCGGTGGCTCTTGGGTCCGAGGGAGAGAAGGCTGGGGTTGGGGAGGGGAGGCCAGATGTGAGGGGTCGGCATCATGGTGGCATGATGGCATGGCGGGCCGTGGGGTCCCACCGCCCACACTGGACCTGGGCTGCAGCTCCGGGGGTCTGCAGGCCGTGCGGGCGAGGGCGCGGGTTTTCCCTTGGGGCAGAGCCACCGATCCCCACCCGTCTTGAGTAGGCGCCAAATGCCCCTCCCCTCCCCCACCCGGCTCCCCGCGCTGACAGGGCTGCGGGTCTGGTGGGCCCCACGCCTCCCCCGACCCCGGGCGACCCTCTTCGCCATCGGCCCCGCACCCCGACTTTCCTTCTCCCGGTCCCGATCCAGATCCTGCTGGCGGGCGCGGGAGAGTGAGCGCGGTTCTCCCCGCCCCGCCGCGTGCACCGCGCCCTGGGGACGGCCCACCGACCCCAGGATGTCCAGGTCGCCTCCCTGCTCCCGCCAAATGAGGACCCCTCCCCGCCCAGACACAGTCAATCGGGGCGTCCAAGAAAAACGCTACTTTCCCCATTTTTCTCTTGGCTCGGTAACTCAGTCCCAAGGCTTGGAGTCTCAGCGGAGGGTTCTGCGGACGGGGGAAACAATTTTTAATACAAAACCGTGAACTTGTGCGTATTACTTACCTTATTTTACTAGAATTGAAAGATTATTACATCCCTGAAGTCCTGAAGAACCAGGTAGTCCTCTGGCTTGGATCGAGTGGAAGCACTCAGATGCTTATTTGTGTCTTCATTGTTGCTATCTCTAAGTGAAATCCAAATGCATTTATTTTACCTAGAAAGTGACCCAAAGTAAGGGCGAAAATGAGCAGTAAAGTACCGTTTGGTAATGCCTCTTTCATGAGTGAAGAGATCAAGTCCAGAGACCAAAACAGTACTTAACTTTAACAGGTTGGGTTTATATATAGAAGATTCAGGAATCATAAGTCTCCCTTTGAAACTGAAGTTTGATGGTTTCATGTAGGATTAAAAAAAATAATAAACCAACGATGATTAAAAAGAAACCTCCTTGTCTTTACTACTTTCCTCCCTAGAAAGTATTTGCCTCCAAATTCCATTATCTCCCGCCTTCCCCACCCCCACCTTTACAGGCTTCAGGAAATGAAAATTCAAAATTATTGCGCCCACAATATTTTTTAAAGTACGTTTCTCTTAAAATTTCTCTTGAGAATTATGCCTAGGACTCTCTTAAATTCTTAAGTAAAGGAATGACTATGCCTAACCTTGGCCACATGGTGCTTATCTTTAGGTGCTGGTGACTGAAACTTAATTGTTTAATTAACATAATGGAAGGATTGTAAAGATTTTTAAGCACTGTAACCTTAACTATAGTATTTAATGTGGAGTTTTGGGTTCATATTTGAAAGTTAACTGGAAGTTCAAACTGTACAGCTTACTGTACCACTTTTTTCTTGATTGAACTGTGAGTTGGTAATGAGAGTTTTTAAAAATAGAATATCTGAGGTTCTTAAGTATCTCCATTTTAGAGAAAACAAAAAATACGAATACAAGGACTAATAAGTGGTTCCAAGCTAACAAAGCTGAACACAAGACTGAGCTGGGGTTTTCATGTGAACTTGAATCTGATTCCTAAATGTACACTTTTGTGTGGAGTGTACGGAGTGCATCCTACTATTGTTGAACAAATGTTCATGATTTGCAGTGTGGGCAAGTGAGGGGGTTTGGCTTTTTGTGAATAATGTGATAAAGATAGGTTCAATGGATTAGGCCTTGTGTTAGGGACTGCCATGCATGTATTTAGTCTAGTTTTATTTTCCGTCCCCCATCCCATGGATGAGAAATAGAAGAGTTACCTTAGTCTTCCCCAACTCAGTAAATGGTACTTCATGTTAGGTGGTAGAGACTTTAACCCCAAGGTATTATTTATTCCACTTTGGTTAATTATCCCCATCTGGTACATTAGTAGACTAACTTTGACTTTACCCTCCAAAATATCAGGAGCATCCTGTAGTGTCAGAAAGTAAGGAATGCTCAAAAACAATGATGCAAGTATCACTTACAAGTATGTCAAATGTACACTAGGGTCAACTGAAATACACGCAATAATGAAATCTAGAACAATTTGAGCAACAAATTATATTATTGGATTTTAACCCTAAACCCCATAGTCTGTACTGATATAAATGATTGACTAAATGAGAGAGGATAGACAGATCTTCCCTGCAGAAAAATTCCAAATGATGTATGAATTTAATCCCTCTCAAAGAGGGACACAGCTGCCATTGGTTTGAAAGGTAAGCTGTGCAGAGTGACTTCCAAGAATACAGTGTGTGAAAGGAACAAAACGGGTAATTTTACAGTGGAGAACCTGACCAACACTTCTCAGCCAGATGATCAAGGTAAACATTGCCCATGATAAATTATATTAACAGCATCTACTCTTGATAGATATGACAAAAAGATATGATGACTTTACCTCTGTGTTCTTTTTTCTAAAAACCCTCTGACCCAGACAAACCATTAGAAAAACATGAGACAGATCTGGGTTAAGGAGCATTCTAGTAAAAAAAAGTCAAAACTTGTGCTGGTGGAGTGGCTCAAGCAGTAGAGCGCCTGCCTAGCAAATGCAAGGCCCTGAGTTTAAATCCCAGTACCACCAAAAAAAAAAAAACTTGATGTAACCAAAGTAGCATATGGAGATAATGACAACCTAAATATGTGGGGTCTTGAAATAGGGGGAAAAAATGATAATAGGTACAAACTAAGAAACCAAGTCAAAAATGGATTTTAATGGTGCATAAGTATTCCTTAATTGTGATATATCCACCAGAGTAAAGGAAGAGTTTAGGACTAGTGTTGGATGTATAGGAACTGTGCTATTTATGTGAAAATATAGAGACTATCAGTGGACGGTCCTAGATTCCATCCCAGTCCCATAACACACAAAAGCAGAAAGAAGAAATATGCCTCCATAACAGTGATTTTGTTTCTTATAAGTTCCTTAGGTGCTAATTTAATGGGTAAGAGGACACATTCCAATGTTATTAGCTAAAATCCTAGGAAGCACTTTTTATATTGTATGTCCTCTATGTCAGGCACTGTATCATTTGCTTGGGATTCTGTAGTAACATTCACGACTGGCCTTTAAAGAGTATACAGTGTGATCTTAGAAATTTAAAATTGATAGTGCTATGAAGCAGGATTTGAAGTCTCCAAAAGATGAGGCTATACATTAATAATGAGTTAGGAGCTAACTAGTCAAAGACCGTAAAAAAAAAAAAAGTTCTAGTCAAAGAAAAGGAGTAATGTGCAAAGCTGTAGAATGGGAAAGGTCTCATCATTCTATCATTTTTATTTGTAAGCAGCTCTGTGTTTCCAAAGCACCTCATTCTCAGGTGGAAGTGGAAAGAGGGTTGCTTTATACTCAAGAAGAGTGGTCTGGCTGTCTTGACTACTTGATTAAAAGACAGTAGAAAGAGACTGTAATCAGATACTAAACAGTCAAGTGTTAAAATATAGAGATACAGGAGCAATCTGTTTCCAGAGTACTTTTTCAATAATAATATGCTTAATGCTTAAGATTTAAGTAATCTCACATAGGACTGTCATAACTCAATAATTTCACAGCTTCATAAGCGTGTGTTGGCATTTCGCAATTAAAAATTAAACGTGGTTTTTTTTCTTTTGTAGGTTATAAAGAAGAAAGTTCCACTCTCTCTGTCAAAATGAAGTGTGATTTTAGTTATAATCATGTTCATACTGAACTTAAACTGGTAAAATCTGATGATGGTGGAAGGCAAGGTTCTTACACTTCTTCGTGTATGGAAGGTCCTTGTAAAGACTGTGTTAAAGACTATGAAAGGTTATCATACATTGGGTCACCAATTGTGAGCCCCAGGATTGTAGAACTTGAGACCAAAAGGAAGCCCTTGCACAACAAAGAAAACCAGCTTGTACAGCTAACTCTTAATAGTTCAAATGCAGTGGAAGAAGTAGAGACCAGTAGACTTTATGAAGATAGTGGCTATTCCTCATTTACCCAACAAAGTGGCGTCAATGAACATGAAGAGGGTAGCCTTACCCTGGAAGAAAGTTTTAGAAACAGTCCACAGTCCTGCCTGCTACAGACACGAAGCCCAGACCATTATCCCAACAAAAACTTGCTACCAGTTCTTCATTTCGAAAAAGTGGTTTGTTCAACATTAAAAAAGAATGCCAAGCGAAATCCTAAAATTGATCGAGAAATGCTAAAGGAAATTATATCCAGAGGAAATTTTAAGCTACAGAATATAATTGGCAGAAAAATGGGCTTAGAGTGTGTGGATATTCTCAGTGAACTCTTTCGAAGGGGACTCAGGCATCTCTTAGTAAATATTTTGGCACAGCTCAGTGATATGGACTTAATCAAGTAAGTGTTGCTTTGATCTTATAGAAGTGGGCATCTAATCTAACCACCTTGAATTTCATAGTCATAATATTAGAAAACTACTTCCATCATCTCTCTTTTAATTCTGAAATTTGTAATTTACACCTGGGGATTAACTGAAACAAGAGTTCCAGTTTGCAAGGTTTAATAGACACTGTAACTTTCATCACAATGAAATAAGAAATAATTTTTTCTTTAAACATTTTTGATGTAGGGCTCTCCTGGTTTTGACTGAAAATATGGAGACCCACAAATAGGGATCTAGTTGTGACTGTATTAAAAACATACTAACTTGTTTTTTAATTCCTCTTTCCACCAAGGAAATTCAGTTAGGATGGGGTAGCTTTGAGAATTAAGATAATACAGACATTTGGATTAAACTGGATTCAAATCTCATGGGTTCATTTTTTAGAGTACCCTGAATGTATCACTACACTAGCACTAGTGTTTATGAAACAGCTAAAGTGAAACAGATATAAATAAATATTGGTTTTAGTTGTTGGCTAAAACCAAGAACTTTAAGTAGCTTCTTAAAGGATAATTAACATTGCAGATTGTACTTTTTCTACAATAGGTAGAACATAATAGGTTTTTGAAAACTTGATTTCTGCTGGAAGCAGTGTGTCCTAACATACTTTGAAATTTTCTCTACCTTTTTTCAAACAACTGATGTGGTCATGTACAATGCCAGCTACTTATTTGGTGTTTGCAGATACTGCTTTGTTTTTTTTTTTAAGATAAAGTAAAATACAAAGAATATAAAGAACTGGTTTTTAATCTGCATACCCTAGAGTTTCTTCCTAGGGAGCTCTTAAAAAATTTAAAACTTTGGCTCCCATCTTATATCAGTTAAATCCAAATAAATTGGCATAGTTATTCTTATCCCAAGCCATTTTAATGTATAGTCAGGTTAAAAAAGCATGGCTGATATAAATTTCACTTTTTCACTGTTGATGTTTCTCTACTATATTCATTTAGCATCTTTGATGTTTTAATTTTTTCCTTTATGATCATTTACTTTCTAGTTTTTCTAAAGTAAGCACAACTTGGAAGAAGATTCTAGAAGATGATAAGGGGGCATTCCAGTTGTACAATAAAGCAATGGACAGATTTCTTGTAAGTCGTTGTAATTTATGTTTTCCCATTAAAATAATACTGCTGTTACTTTTACCTTCAAAATAAGGAGAAATAGGAAAGAAAAACCAGGCAATATTAAAAAAAACTTTAAGTTTGCAAAAAGATTCCAGTCTTTCACTGGAATTCATTAAGAATCCAAACTCAACAATGAGAAAGGAATCCTGCCTCAGTTACTTATTTCTGGGGTTCTCCCTAGAAATGGAAAATCTAAAGTAGTAAGAGGAATTCCTTGGTTCTCAGATGAGAGTTGACCAGTTAGCTGATCTTGGCTACCATTTTTATGTGCATTTTATAACCTTTGTAACACTTGGAAAAGCCATTGTATTTGCACTTAGTTGTTAAGAAATAAAAGCTATAAACAGAGTATTTTTTGTGACTTATCAGAAAAATAGTATAATGTGTAATCTTATAATGTGTTGACTTTTGTAAAATACTTGGTAACTATAGATCTTTTTGAGAATCCATGAATATATGACTAAGCCTAGAACTGGGTAGATTTAAACAACTATTGCTTAAATTCTCCATATTTAGCTTCTTTATTGGTAAACTGTTAATGGAAATTCCACTGTTTTTAAGTCTGTTCATATTAAGGAGATAACATGTGGCTACTGCCATCTACTGGTAATAAGAAGAATGACCATTTCTGTTTTTGTTAGTTATGAATCATATCTTACAGACTATGTAAAGTGATTTCTCAGTTTTTGATTCATATTTTCTGCCAGTGAGTTAAGCTTTAAACATCTGTGCGTGCAGTTACATTTGGCTGTGTTTAACATCTACAGGTAAATTAGATGTACCTAACCAGGGCTCCTGTGCCTTCCCCAATACACCCAAAAAGCACCACTGTCATGCACAACTCCATTATATTCCTTTGTAACGATATTTATGAGCATAACAAAAGTACCTGGCTGTTGAGTAAATACAGGAAAGAAAATATTTTAACTTTTGTTAAAACCTTTTTAAATTAGGAAAACAAGATTAAGTTTTCACTACATGCTTCAACCAGAGAATACGTTATGTTCAGAACTGCACTGGCTTCTGTTCAAAAATCAGCCCAGGCTCCTTCCGAAAATGCTCAAGCCAAGTTATCCAGTCAAAGTGACCGGAAAGGTTCTACTCACAGTCGACACAATGAATTCTCTGAGGTAACTTTTTGTTTAATGAATAAATTAGAATCATGGGTATTTATTGCTAAAGGGGTTTATGGTAAGAAATGAAAAAGGTTAAAATATAACTCAGATAAATAACTATTGTATTCCCTACCAAAGTAGGACAACTGAGGAAGAAGGGCTAAGGAGAAAAAAATCTACCTTTCAGAAATTGAAGACTTCTTATTTTTATCTTCAAATAATTGGGTAATACATAAGTGCTCTACTTGGAAATAGATAATTTTGCAAATTTCCTTGAGCAAATCATAATCTTAGAGCTACATAAAAAATAAATGCCATGTGGTGGTGTGTACCTGTAGTCCCAGCACTCAGACTGGACTGGAAGCTGGAGTGGGAGAGAGTCTGGATGGCATAGCATGACTGTGTCTCAAAAAAACAAGAACCCTAAAATGTGGTAGTTGCTTTCTGTTTTGTTTTTTGTAAGACAGAACTAAAGGTGAAAGAGTAGCTAACTGCGGCCTTTCACCAATTGAACTAAACTAAAGGGCAGAGATGGTATAGTGCATGACAGTGGTGCTTTTGAGGAGCCCTTGGTTTTCTAACTAAATTATATTCAGCTCTTACTAAAATTTATGCATTTTTTTTCTAGGTTGCCAAGACATTGAAAAAGAATGAAAGCCTCAAAGCCTGTGTTCGCTGTAACTCACCTGCAAAATATGATTGCTACTTACAACGTGCAACTTGCAAACGGGAAAGTTGTGGGTTTGACTATTGCACAAGGTGTCTCTGTGATTATCACACCGCCAAAGACTGCTCGAATGGCAAGGTCCTAAAAGACAGCTGTAAAATGGGCCCCCTGCCTGGTTCTAAAAAAAGCAAAAAGAACCTACGAAGATTGTGATCTCATACAATTGTGAATGATCATGAAGGTTAGATTGAACGTGTTAGGTGTTAATATTAAAAGAATAAATAAAAAATAATTGTGAATGGGGGGGGGTTCCCCACCAATATATAGAGGATACACAGCCTCTTAAAATATTTTACAACTTAATATGAAGAAAATTAGATTGGAAAAATTAAGTATTTTAAGAAAGGGAAAACAAAGTAGTTATCTGATACTGTGATTTAGAGGTCGATACAAAACTTGATTACATTTTATGGTAAAAGAAGACCATGTAATTTTATATAGACAGTCTTAAATATTTTAAGTCTGGTTTAGTGTCTTAATATTTGAGGCATTTTATTTGCTTTATCAAATCAATACCAATTGAAATATCAACTTGTGGAGTCTGTTACTCTAAATATTTTGTCACCTTTCTTGAACCTTCTTTTTGTTAGTGTTTGTTGTATTTCCCAAAAGTATCCTTCATAAAATCTTGCTGTATTCTTTATTTCCAAAACCTGTTTTAATACTTTTATATATGTAAATATTTCTGTATTTTTATGTGCTTAATAAACGTGTACATATAAGATAAATTTTGTTTATTATAAATAAAGTGTTATAAGCTTAATGATGTATGCCTTTTATTTTTACAAACATCTTAGTTCTAGGGACACCTGAATTAGGACGCTGCAGTAAAGCATTTGTTTGTGAAGGCACTGAGTGAATCGTGTCTATTCTCATGGACAGTTTAAGGGGAGGTTACAGATCCTCAGTCTGTCTTGCTTTCTAATCCAAACCACCATTTTATGTGTTTTTATTGAGAGTTGAAACGACATTCAGTGTTAATATTCAAAAATATGTAGTTCCTGTCATTTTGTTGTTTTGTGATGTCCAGTTCTTAATTCTCAGTGTACTTGGCTAGTGGAGTTTATTTCTTATACTCTCCTGGTTGTGTTTATTTTCCTCTTATGTGTAAGATTCCTTTAAGTATATTTGCAGTGCTGGTCTAGTGTCATGAATACCTTTAGACTTTGTTCTTCATGGGAGGTTTTTATTTCTACTTCAGCTGTAAAGGATAGGTTTGCTGGACGCAGTAATTTAGGTTGTTAGTTAATTTCTTTCAGGGCTTGAAATACATCGTTCCATGCCCTCTTTGCTTTTAGAGTTTCTGCTGAAAAATCTGTTAATTCTGATCAATTTGCTATTATATGTTCTCTCTTACAGCTTTCAGTATTTGTTCTGTATATTCAGTACTTTATAACACATGTAATACAGTGTTTTTCTTTTCTGATCTTATCTGATGTTCTGAAATCCTATACCTGTATAACCCTTTCTGAAGATTGGGAAAGAATTTTTGCTGTTATTTTGTGTTCTTTGAATTCATTCAGGTGTTTATGCATGTCCTCTTTAATTTTGTTGATCATTCTTAAATTGTTCTCTTGAGTTCATTGTTTGAAATTTCATCCACTTCTATTGTTCAAGTCCTTATTCTGAAATTGTTGACTTTTGGAAGAGACATGTTGCCATGCTTTTTCATATTATTTCTACATTGTGATTTGTACATCTTCTGAGTCCAAGTCTTTGGATATTTTAAATACCTGTAGTCTTTCAGTTGAAGCAGTTTCATTGTTTAGGTAGAACAGTGTTGTGGCCTGGTTGAGGTGCTATTTCTCACCACTGAACTGTGGGGGAGGTGTGACAGTAGCCAAGCATTTGACCACTGGGCCAGATCTCCAGGACTGCTCAGATCAGGGTAAACTAGTGGGAGTTTCTGGAAGGGCTGGTTGTCTGCTTCTGGGAGTGCGGCTCCCCACTTTATGTGCTGGGAACTGCTGTTGGCTGCAGGAACCTTTACAGCCTGTGCACTAGGCAGGTTTCCAACTGCTCCTTGCTTCTCCCCAGTTTGTGCTCCTAGGACAGTAGGCATCCAAGTCCACCTGAATGCATCATGGTTGGGGATGAGGAGTAAAGCACTGAGTTCTGCACTGGCTCAGGAAGAACTGAGGGACCTAGTGTCTGCATGCTGATGTTGATGCTTACAGACCCTGTCCACAGTTCACTTTCCTGTGGGAGGCAGAGACTGAAAGTTTCTTACTCAAAGGGACTGGGCCCTGGGGCCCTCAGTTCGGACTATATGCAAACACACATCAGGAAGCAGTTCCCAGAGGTAGGCCTCAGTTTTCATGTTCTACCTGAAGTTTCATCTCTGTTGGGGATAAGGAAGACATTGTTAGTATCATGACATTTAAGGGTCTGAACACAGGGCTCTGACCCTCCTAACAATCAATACATAGTCAGGAGGCAGGCCATGTGGGCTGAATACTAAGGCAACTTCAGGCTCAGTGCTTGGTTTCTGCCCCAGCATCAGGGGGTAGAACTTGCTCCTGTCCAGGAAGAGTGGAGCCTCCAATCACCAAGGTACCCTCCACTGACATCAGAGATTCCCTGCTGTTTGAACTTCTCTTTGAGGCCACATAAGACCTTCTCCTCTCCTGGCCATCTCCCACCCAGACTCTGGCAGGCTGTCCCAAGACGCTCTGCACAATTAGTGTTCCTTGTTTTCAGGCCCCAGAATATCTCAGTCTCAAAAAGTAGCCCTCTCTTAAGATGGTATCTTCCTTTCAACCTCTGAGATAAGAGGAATGACAAAATGTCTTCATGGAGGATAGCCTGTCATACCAGACCAGTGGTTCCTCACAAATCACTCACACTAGGTTTGAGGCTTGCAGGAGGTGTGGGATTATCTTGCAGCTAGAATTGCCAGTCTGTCACCAGGACATCTGTTTTACCTTGTGATGGTATCTTCAGTTTCCCCTCTTGTCCTGAATGGGCAAGCCCCTATGAATGGGCTTGGAACTGTTTGCTCTCTTGGTCTCTCTGTGCTTTTCTGCTGTCCTGCTACCTCTTGTGAGTCTTGATGCTCTTTCTCTCTTCAGACTATAATGTTAATCTGACTCTTCTCATTCATAGCGTCAAAATGGTGGACACTTCTAATCCACCATCTTGTCCAGAGGAGAGTTCACCATTTTATGTTTTTAAGCAGGGTAGGGAAGTTTTATTTATTTCACATTCTCATCAAAATTTGCTGTACTTAAGTCTTTGTAATTTTAAACATCCTAATGGATGTGTAGTATATGGTTGTGGTTTTAATTTATGCCTCTCTAATGACTAATGTTGAGCATCTTTTCATGTTATTTAGCTTCATAGTGTTTATTTGATGAAGTGTCTACTTAAATTAATTTCTTTCTTCTGTTGTTCTCTTTTTGATATTTGAGAGTTTCACCAGAAAGTCAGAATACATATCTACCTTGGTTCTTGCATCCAGTGAGAGAATTCAGGCAAGACAAGCAAGTATAGTGAAAGTGATAGAAAAGTTTCTTAGGACAGAAATACACTTTCAATAGATTGAGAGGGGTTGTCTCTAGGGTGAGAGTGAGAAGAATTATTTTTACCCTGGCACCACTTTTTATTGAGGTGGAAGTGGCTTAAAGCATTAAGTCTCTCTTTAGGACCAGCCCATGAGACTGAAGTCACAGTTAAGGTCAGGAGGCAAGGGTAGGCCTACAGATTTACAAAATACAAAATATAGGGTCCACCTGACCCCTAGGGTCTGATTTAAGGGCCTGGGTTTTGTTCTGTTAAGATTTATTGTTTCAGGAACTGGTGTTGACCCACCTTAGGGTGGATGACTCAAAACAGCTCATGACATCCCATGACCTTGGTGGGTTATTTTGACCCTAATAGGTGCTTTTGTGTTTTTCTCTGAGACCTTGAAGAATCCTCCATTTTAGGTTTCCTTTTCAAATCCCCATTGCTCATAGCAAACTGCTACCTAACAAGAGTATATATTCTGAACCAAGTGCTGTATAGGGTGTGTCTTGTCTTTCATTTTACCAGTGTCTTTGGGAGACAAGTTTGTTTAGTTTGTTTGTTTGTTTTTTGCATTATGGGGTTTGAACTCAGGGCCTACACCTTCAGCCACTCCAGCAGCCCTATTTTTTGTTTAAAGGGTTTTTTTAGGATAGGGTCTCAAACTATTTGCCTGGGCTGGTTTCGAACCGAGATCCTCCTGATCTCTGCCTCCTGAGTAGCTAGGATTACAGGTGTGAGCCACCAATGCCCAGCTGCTTTGCTAAATCTTAAAATCAAATGCAGCCTTTTATTTTTCTTTCAAATTTTTTTGTTGCTTTTTTTTCTTAGTTACTTTGCTCTTCTCTTACAGTCTCTACCTACAGTTTACCAATTTCTACAGAAATATGGATTTTGATTGGGATTGCAGTGAATGTATAGATCAATATGAAGAGTGCTGATATCTTTACAGCATTGAACCCATGCACTTAGTGGGTTTTCCAATGATTTACATTATACATTATTCGAGATTTAGCTGTTTTACCTTTTTCTGGTGGAACTGGGGTTTTGAACTCAGGGATTTGCACTTGCAAAGCAAGTGCTCTACTGCTTGAGGCATACCTCCAGTCCATTTTGCTCTGGTAATTTTGGAAAAGGTATCTTGTAAATTATTTTCCTGGGCTGACCTTGAACCACAATCCTGATCTCAGCCTCCCAAATAGCTAGGATTATAGGCCTGAACCATTGATGCCAAGCAAAACTGACTTTTTTTGGCAAGAGTGCTAGTACTACAGTTTGAACTCAGGCCTTGTGCTTGCTAGTCAGGCACTCTACTATTTGAGCCACACCCTCTGCTATCTTTTCATTATACATGTATTATACATCTTGTGTCAGATTTGTTCCTGTTTCATATTTTAAGCTATTCTAAATGACATTTTTATTTTGATTTTCAATGGTCGATTGCTAATATATTGGAATGCAATTATTTTTACAAATTTATCTTTTATTTTTCAACCTTGCTAAATGCTATTGAGTGAAACTTTTACTAGATTTTCTAAATAAATGATCTTGTCTAACACAAATAAATACAGTTTTAATTCTCTCATTCCACTATGCATGACCTTTATTATTTTTTTTTCTTGACACATTTTACTGGCTAAAACCTCCAA